CTCCCGTGCAGCAAGCTCTCTGCAAACACCCGCCCCCAACCCCTTCAGCAGCCGTCTTGCTGCTAGGAAGCCTCTCAGACCACTCGCCTTTGCTTTGTTCCCAGTGCGGCTATATGTGGATCCTGTCCTCCACAAACAGCCGGACTCTCAGTCTCTCAACCACTCCACCTGTCCCAGCTCCTGAACCTCTAGAGCACCACACAATGTAGATTTCTGCACACAGAGCAGATCTCCAGGGCTAGGTGTTCAACAGTACCAGGCTTCCACCCCCCTCCCCGGTCTGTTTCTCTTCTCCCTGCTGGTAAGCTGGGATCGAGGAAGGGCTCGGGTCCCAGCCATTCAAGGCTTTCATACATTACCCTCTTTTGTGAGGTCTGCTCTGTTCGTGAGATCTGTATGCAGTCTGGTTCAGCCTTCTTTCCTGTTGCTGTTTTAGGGTTAGTTGTATTAACTATATTTTTGAACTATTTGTGGTTTTGGCAGGAGTTCTCTGTCTCACCTCTCATGCCGCCATCTTGAGTCCTCAATTTCCCTACTTTAAATTTTAAATTAAGAAGAAACCATTAAGAAATAACTCATACTTTTACAATTTGTACAATGATTTCTTAGTTTGTACAGTGTTTTCTTAGTAATTAACTAATACTTCATTCTTATATGCCAGTTATTATATACCTGTCAAGTTTTCTCCCAAAGGACTTTTTTAGTGTTGCAAGTCAGCGTTGAGCCAGAACTATTTGAATCCTTAGTCAATTTTATTATTTTAAAATAACATCTTATATTGCTTATGATATTTTAGGACTCTACATAAATTGAGCTGTAACAGTGGCAGAAATTTTATCATATGGTATGAAATTTTAAGAACATTTTATGTATTACACTTAACTTGTTTTATATTTTACCTATATTGGATTTAAAGTAATTGTTGTGCATTATACATATTTAAATTAAGCTGACTATTTAGCCAGTCTACAACTGCTGTACCTTGGAGTGGAAAACTATTTCATTTAATTAAAATGCCACAGCAATAGAAAGAACATTTTACTATGAATTGAGACTATAACTAGGAAACAATTCATCTTCTAAAAGCATTTTGTCTAACCAAAGAAGTTGATTTGGAAAAGCAAGCAGAGAAATATCTAGGAAATGATTGAATTTATGAGGGCTAGTAAAATCTTAGAGTAATCAAAATAAACCTCAGAAAGAGCTTATAAATCTCTAAGTCTTCAAATGTAGGAGTTAAGCAAGCCTGAGTTTATCCATTTAATAGTTATAAGTGTTTTCTGTGTGCCACACATAGCTCCCATGGTCTGAGGATATAGTAGAAAAGAAAATTGACCACAGCCTGTCCTCTGGAACATGCATACATGTTAATGGTGTTGGAGAGAGCTGACAGCACACACAAAAAGGAGACGAGGGCATTAAGCTCTATGGAGAAGAGGTGTGCATGGGAGACACAGAATGCTAGGATGGTGAAGGATAAGTTACAACTTTGAAAAAGATATTCATTAAAACCTTACTGAGAAGCCAACATTGGAGCAAGGAAATGGAGAAAGTGAAGAAACTGGCTGTATGGATATTGAGAAATTGCTTGTCAGGCACATGGAAGAGTTAAGTGCAAAGGACTTGAAAGCAGGACTGTGTTTGGCTTGTTTGAGGAACAGCATGAAAAGTCTGTGGCTGAAGCCAGTGAAGAGTAGGAGGATATGGGGGGCCAGGACATGTCAGCCATAAGAGGCTTTGACTATTATTCTAAGTGAAATGGGGAGCCATTAGAGGGTTTTGATCAGGAGAGTGACATGACAATAACTCATGTTTAAAAAGATTCTCTGGCTACTCTTGTTCAAAGAAGACTTAAGTTTGAGGTGGGCAGGGTTAAAAAGAGGGAGACCAGTGAGGAGGTTATTGCAATAGTCCCAAGTGAGCAAGAATGGAGATTGGACCAGGCTGATGGAAGTAGAGTGGTAAGAAATGATAGGATTCAGGATATCTTTTGAAGATGGAATCAGTAATATTATTGATTAGATTGGATGTAGAGTGAGAAAAAGAAAAGGATGAATCCAAGATTTTGCAATCATTTAAGCAACTGGAGAAACACAGTCACCCTGAACTGGCAGAAAATTATGTGGTTAGAGAATTCACGGAGAAAATGGGAATACTATTCTCAAAAAAAAAATGAACTTTTGGTTTAATTAAATTTTCTCTATGGTTACAGTTCTCTACTTGAGTTCTGCTGTCTTACTAATTTCTGTCTTCTAGGTGAAAGCTGAAGACATTCGAGACCTTTATTTTCTTATATAGACATTTAGTGCTATAAATTTTCCCCAAGTACTACTTTAATATTCACATTTCTTCCTAATTTCTCTTGATTTTCCTTTGAGTTACAGATTATTTATAATTTTGTTATTTAGTTTCCAAATACTTGGAGATCCCACCAGAGATTTTTTGTTAATTCTAATTTAATTCTATAGTGGTTAGAAAACATAACTTTGTATGTTTCAAATCCTTTTAAATCTATTGAGACTTCTCTTGTGGCACTGAAATACATCTGGTCTATCTTGGTAATTGTTCCAGATATATTTGAAAAGAATGTGCATTCTGTTGTTTTGGGGTGGAGTATTCTATTAATGTCAGTTAAGCCAAGTTGCTTCACATCTTCTGTGTTTTACTGATTTATTGTCTACTTGTTCTACCAGTTACTGAGACACAGGCATTGAAATTTCAGGCTGTAACTGTGGATTTGTCTGTTTTTTCTTTGCAGCAGTTTTTGCTTCATGTAATTTGAAACTCTGTTGTTAGGTATATAAACATTTAGATCATTGGGTCCTCTTGATGAATTAAGCCCTTTTATGATTATAAAATGATGTGATTTATTCATGATAATATTGTTTGCTCCACAATATGGTTTGTCTTGACATTGGTAGTTGTTCCAGCTTTTTTTGATTAGTGTTAGCATAGACTGTTTTATATTCTTTTACTTTTAACCTAAAATTAGGCAGCATATAGTTAATCTTACTTTTTTATTCAGTCATTTGGGAATTTAGGTCATTCACCTTTAATGTGATTAAGTTTTGATTTATAATCTTGATATATGTGTTCTTCTGTACTGATTTTTATGCTGTGGTTGTCACACATTTTATTTTTAGATATGTTACAAACCTTGTAATTTATTGTCGTAGTAAAAGGTCAATTATCTTTTAAAGAGATTTAAATTTTTAAAAATATTTTTGTCTGTTGTACTCTTACATCTTAAACCAAACCATGTAGATACCATTTCTAATGCCCTTCATTCCTTATGCTCTTCATTCCTTTTTAGATCTGTATTTTCATGTAGTATCATTTTCTTTCTGCCTAAAGCCTTCTTTCAACATTTCATCTCGTATGGCTTTACTTGTGATGAATTCTGTCACCTTTTATGTGTCTGAAATTTCACCTTAGTTATTGAAAGTTACCATAGCTGGGTATAGAATTCTAAGTGGTGTCTTTTTTTTTTTTTCAGTACTTTAAAGATGTTGCTCCAGTGTATTCTCACTTGCATTGTTTCCCATTGTTTCTGGTTTTGAGCAGTTTGATTATGATATTGGTGTAGCTTTTTCTCCTGTTTCTTATGTTTGGGGTTGGTTGAGCTTCTTGGATCTGTGGGTGTATAATTTTAATCAAATTTAGAAATTTTTCAGCCATTATTTCTTCACATTTTTTTGTGTGTCACATACTTACATACTTTTCCTTCAGAGACTGCAATTAAATGTGTATTAAGCTACTTGAAGTCTTCCAGCTCACTGATGCTATGTTAATTTTTAATATTTTTAATTATCTGTTCTCTCTGTTTTCCAGTTTGGATTGTTGTTATTGCTGTGTCTTTAAGTTTCCTAATCTTTTCTTTGGCAATGTCTAATCTGTCATTGACCTTTCCCATATAGCTTTCATCTCTAAAAGTTCAATTTGGATTTTATTTTTTATATTTTCCAAAATTCTACTTAACTTTTGAACATACAAAAATTGATTATAACTATTTTAACATCTTTGTTAATATCTATATCATTGCTGCATCAGTTTCAGTTGATTTTTGCATGGATAGTAATTTTTGATTGGATGGCAGACATTGTGAAGTTCAACTCATTGAATATTGTATACATAGTTTTGTGTTCAAATATTTTTGAGCTTCGTTCTAGGATACAAGTTACTTGGTGAAATTGTTTCAGTTTTATCACTTTGTGTCTTGCATTTAAAATTTGGTAGGCTTCTAAAATTGGTCTGGGGCTAATTATTCCCCATCACAGAGGGAAGAGCTTTCTGTGTACCTTACTAGAGGGACCAGCAAACCGATTGGCAAATCTGGCTCTCAGCCTGTATTTGTAAATAAAGTTTTATTGAAACACAGCCATGACCACTCATTTGCATGTTTTTCTGGCTGCTATTGCACTTCCACAGCAAAGTTGAGTTGTTGCATCAGAAATTACATGGCCCCTCAAATCTAAAATATTTACTGTCTGGCCATTTACAGAAAAATTTGCTGTCCTCTGCATTATCCAGTGCCTCATTCATGATGTTTTCCAGCCTAGCTATTGAGAGTACATGCTGTTCCTGGCCCTGTGTGAGCACTGGACACCGTTCCTCTAATGTTTGCAGGTGGTTCTTACTCCAGGCCTAGGTAGTAGCTCTCACATCTGTGTGCTGATCATTACTCGGCTGAGTACTTGAGCAATACCTTCTAATCTCTTCTCATCAGTACTCAGTCCCATGAGCTCTATACACTTCGGTGTCCCCACACTCTCAGTCCTGCTTTCTCCCTAGCATAGATGGTCTGCCAGGCACTGCCTGGATGACCTCTCCTTACAGTGTGGCCTGGAAGCTCTTTTAAGGTAGTGAGCTGGAATAGTGATTGGACTCACCTCGATTAGTTTCTTTTCACTCAGGAGTCGCTCTTGTTTGTTGCCTAATGTTGATTTTTTTTGAAAACCATTGTTTCATGTATTTTGACCTTTTTTTTTTGGTTGTTTCAGATGAGAGAGTAAAACTGGCTCCTTTTAATCTCTGGCAACTTGCATTTGGGTATGAGTAAGAACTTGATAATATAGATAAATGTAGTAACCATATTGTTTTTTCATGTGAAAACCTTCATAAGAGTGTATATCGATCATACCTTAGTGAAAAATTAAAAAAAAAAAAAGAAATCTTAATATTAAAAAGACTAAAAGCTAAAGTTTGTTAACAACTGTGTAACCTTTATTTGCCTTTGAAATATTTTCTTGTCATTCTGGTTAAATAGATAAGTGTTGCTTCATAGCAACCTATAATCCTATTTAAGCAAGTGCCCAAAAAAGAAATCAAATGCAAAAGAGGTGCTTTTACCTCTAGTTAACTCTGATATTTTCCAGAGGGCCCCTGGAACATGTCAGGAATTTTTTCTCATTTGGAGAAAGTATTTGACTAATTTGGCTTATTTATCATATATATATATATACCAGGAAGCACTGTCAAAGAGAATGATGCTAAACATTGTTACTGAATGTTTTTTTTATCATTAATCTACACTTACATGATGAATATTTTGTTTACTAGGCTCTCCCCTACACCAGGTCCCCCCTATATACCCCTTTACAGTCACTGTCCATCAGCGTAGCAAAATGTTGTAGAATCACTACTTGTCTTCTNAGCTTCTAAAATCATGATTTATCTGGAATGCTACTGGTAGCACTGTTGGTTTGGCAGTCCAGATAATCACTACTAAAATGATTAAGAGGAGGATAAACATAATTAAAAATGAAGGACTCTTCTTTCAGAGAATATTTTTCATGATTAATGTGGTTAATACCCACAACAAAACATGAACACACCTTCCAAATCTCAAAAATAAAGGACATTTTTCAAAGCTTGAAAGAACTAAATTTAAGAAATTGAGATGAGTTAATAGTTAAAAAAATTAAGTCAGAAGAAAAGTTAAAAGCAGTTGTTTAAAAACTATCTTGCTGTAGAAGAGGATCTTCTACAAGTTAGACAATGTAGTCATCTGCTGAAATATCTTTCTCAAGGTACAGACAAAATTAAGCTAATAGAAAATCGCTGTAAAAACAATTTTCCTTTTTGAAAGTTTTCTGTCATAAACTTTCTTTTAAAACTTTGACATCTCCTAAGACCTGCCTTTTTAATAGTTTGGAATCTAATTTAGTGTAATAGTATATTTCTTTATCAAATATAACCAAATAAAGGAAATTTCCATATTTTTAACAAAAAAGATCCAAAAAGGAAAGTTTTTGGCTAACTTAAAGGAAATTTACATTTCCATGTATGCCAGCAAATATGTACCAGCATATGTACATAACAGAAAAGGAAATTTTTAGTATTTCACAGCTATAAGAATCAATGTAAAATTATTGGGAACCCCTGGATTGGGCTTCAGTTGACTATATTGTTGCTTTGGCTTCTGCCCTTCCAGTCCTCAGGTTCTTGTTTACAGAATTGGAAGGTGGGTTAATGGTATTGAACAGGATGTTTCTCAAAAGCCCTCTAAAATTCTTAAAAATTCTGAGTTTTATTACTTAACTGAGTAGAAATGTAGGACCCTAAATTCTCATTAACAAGCTTACTGCTCCTTTTGCATGGGAAGTCTATTTTTACCCCCAACTGGCTGTGGTAGTTACAGCTTTCTACCCTTGAAGTTATAGGGTGCTCTGAATTGGTAAAGAATAGAATTTAGTACAGGGTTATAAAAGTCCTTTCATTGCAGGGTTAAGTAATGGTGGGAAATGTGACCTCTGCTGTTCAGTGGTAAAAGCTGTTTAATATACAGAGGCATTGTTCTTTTTGGCATAATAATGAAAGCATTCATTATATCCAGCACTTTGTTCTAATCTGTATAGAATCAGTTGCTTGATAATGAAATGTGACCCTGATTGCAGTTTGTGGAGGAAAGGGGAGGTTGTGGTTACTCTAAGGACCTTAATTATTATAGCATTTCTTTGGCACTTTCAAAATGAACTTCATTTTTATCAATTTTATCAATGCTTGTGAAATCTGAGTAATCGAATTCCTCAGGATTTGGTGTTGGATAATCACTAATGAGATACTTCCTTTTGCAATTTTGTGATTAGCTATCAATATAATTTGATCCAGGTGCTTTTCTTCTTTGTAGTCATATTGTTGGTGAAAACTGAAAATGTCTCTTGTGTTCCAACTACTCAGTTATTTCCTTCTTGAAGACCATTATTACCTAAATTTAGAATACCTGCTAAATTTTAAGATTTTGTATAGTATTTAAAAATAAAAATTTTATATTTGTGATCATATTTTAGCATTGAAGAGGAATATAATCCTGCTGTAATTACCCATTGAAAATAGGATAATTTCTAAATTATTTTTGATCATTTTAAGATTATCAAAATAATGAAATTATATTCTTCCTTAGCCCCATTTACATACAAATCTTTTCACTGTAGTACGAGGAGAAATGAGGGTCCCTGAAGAAGCTCTAAAGGTAAAGTTTTTTACTTCTTTTTTAAACCTACCATTTACTAGGGTTGATTTCATTCATGTTTTACTTCTATTTTAAAATGTTTTATAGCATGAGAAGTTTACTATTCAGCTTCAGTTGTCCCAAAAATCTTCAGAAGCAGAATCACCAAAATCTACGAAATGTGCCAAAAGCACAGATTCGAAGGTAGCAGATACTGCAGCAGAAGTGCAGCACAAAGCTACAGAAGCACTAAAATCTGAGGAAAAAGCTATGGGTAAGTAAGCCTCTTTGAAATACCGTAGTTCTACTTGATCATGAAAAAATTGCATGCTTTGTTCTAAAAACTTGGCAAGATCCATATAAAAATAATTAATAATGACAGTTTCAGAGAGTATTATATAACATGTAATTACATATGGCATTTATATGTATGTGTGTTTAGTATGTTTAAATATTTGAAGGGAATAAATATAGTTCACCTTACTAATTTTATTTTTTCATGTTTGTCTGCTTTTCTCTCCCTAAAATAAAACTGAAATGAATTAAAAGGCAATATCCAGTAATGTTGTATCATCATAATTGTTACCATATTTTCATGTTCCAGGATCTATAAAAATATGCTGTACATAAATAATTCCATTCATGTAAAAGTGATTTTTTTTAATTGATGGAAATTACCAAATTTGTCCTAATATCAGTCTATTAGCTGTGTTACTAATTAGTTTAAATTTAGTTATTGTGCAATAGCTTTAAAAAAATTTTATAATAGTCACTCCTGCCTCTATACTAAAGTTTAGTTTTGTCTCTTATTTAGACTTAGTGAACCACTTCTAAATACAGAGAACTGATTACATTTTAACACAAAGATATGGGGCTATAGCAGTTTGCATTTGAATCCCAGCCAGTGCAGGGTTTCATTCATTTAATTATTTCCAGTGTTGAATAAGGTCTTACATAAATATGAATGTTTTATGTTTTTCAACAGAGTACTCTTTAGCTGTCAAGACTCAAGCAGACAATTCTAGCATTCTGCAAAAGTATATTTTTTTCTGTTTCAAGTGCTTTAGACAGATTTTTCCCACCTCTTGTCAGATATTTCTGCGATGCCCCGTGGCACTCCGTTATATGGGCAGCCATCATGGTGGGGGGACGATGAGGTGGAAGAACAAAGAGCTTTCAAGTCAAATGGCAAACCTGAAGAAAAAAATCATGAAACTGGAACATCAGGTAAAAATAATCTCAGATTATGACATGATATGAATATTTGGGGGGTTGAATTTATAATTTAATCAAAAGTCCATCTACCCTGAAAAGAAGTATTTGATTTAAAATGGTGAATGTTTTAATGACATTGTCATTTAATGTCAATTAACATAAAGTGTTAATTCTGATATTACTTTGACTTAAAATTTTTTTTCCAGCATATGAGATTGTTTTAACTTGGAAAATAGATTAGAAAATATGATTGGGCTTTTAAGTATTTTAAAATAATTATTAAAATGCTTGTTAGACCAAAATAGTAGGTAAAAACCAATTTTGTTTTCATTAGATTTGCAAGCATGTAATCATACTTTTTAAATCCACAGTTTCTATTATGTTCAAGAATGTGATATGAAATGAAAACTTCTTTAAAACCTCCATGTGCCTAATTTGTTGGGCTATGATAGCAACAAGATAAGCTGAATTTGGTAGTCAGAATAAAAATGTTCTGGATCACATTCTTAGATTAATAGTCAAGAAACATTATTTTGTTGCTGGAGGGGTTTAGTAATAAACTAGGTGTCCATAAGCCAGAAAATAAAGATTTCCAGGAAATAAATGAAGTATCGATTTTCTGTCATGTAAGGACTTGGCAAAGACATCAGCACCAAAGGATGGAGTAGCCAGTTTCTTTGATAATGGCAGATAAGGATCCAGGACTGGAGGAATTGAATACAGGCATCAGGAGCAGTGTGGAAAACCAACTCTGACTGAGTCAGGAATAGATTCCATTAGAACTATTCTCAATTTTCTACTTTTGACCCCTAGTTCTGCAAGATAAATTTTCTTACCTGGAGAATAAATAGTTCATTAAAAATGCTCTAATTTTACCAGGATACAAGTCTAAGAAAGCTGGACTTACCAACTCAATCTTACAGTGTTCCAACTGAAACCGTCAACTTTGCAAGTGAATTCCCATTGCAGCTTCCTTGCTTCTGTCCACTAACAGTTTTCTTCACACCCAAGCTCAGAAACTATGTGATTTAGGATTCCCTTGAATGCAAGTAACAGAAATGATACCTGAGACTAAACAGGAAGGAAATTTACAGGCTTAAATAGCAGCATCTTGTGGGTTGGTTAATGCACCATCAGAATGGCATCATCGACTAGCTAGCTTCTCTGTTTCTCAGTCCCTCTGTCCGCAGTAGATATGTACTGAGGGAGCATCCCCTCATTCTCATAGGCTGCCTACCAGCAGTAGTTGGGGGTACCTGCCACTTAGATCACATCTAACAGCAAATAGCAAAGGCTGTTTCCAGAAAGCCCCCAGAAGTTGGAGCATATCTCTCACCTCATTGTCCTTTCACAGGTTCAGGAGTAGGTCTCCAGCAAGGGTTATGAGGTTATCCTTAAGCCAGTCTTGCACATCCTGAAGCTGAGTGTGGGAAAGTTTTCCCTAATGGCACAGGAGCCATGTCAGGGAAGAGCTGGAGTCCTTTTAGGAAGGAGGAATGGGAAATGGGATTTGGAGTTGATCAAGAATGTCTACTGTATTTGAAAATGTTTGTGTCTTCCTTCCCCTTCTCCTCTCTAATATTTTACCTGCCTCTGTTGCCTTTTCTTTTCATTGAGTCATAATTGAACTTCCTGCTTGCAGCTTGTCAACCCTCCTGCAGTTCATTTTGCATAATAAATCTCAGCTATCCTTTGCTTTTTTTCCAAGAAAGTACAGTGGCTGCCTTTTATCAGCCAAATAGATTTATGTCAGAGTTCTTTTGTCCCACTTAGAGCCTTATAAGCTATTACCAGTTGTTTTTAGTACTCTTTCCTAATGCATTCTCACACAAATGATGCTGATCCTGCTCTTCTCCCACAGACATATACACACACTCATCAGGTGATAGAAAATTCTAAATGATATGTCTGTATATATATATATATATATATTGCTAATATGTAACACAGTTGCCTTCACTCTTGTGTGTTCATGCCTTCTCATCTAAACTATAAGTTCCTTACTTCAAGGATCACATTATTATTGTGCACTAGAGTCACCTAGCAGAGAGAAAGAAAATGTACTAATTATAAGTGGTTAATTTAACAGAAAATACAGCAGAATGTCACTACTGCTAGATTCCAAAAATAACTGTTAATGATTTTATCTAGCCATTAAAAATCTGTTCCTCCCTTCTCACATACAGAACAACTTAAAATCTGAAGTACATAACTTCTAGAATACAGTGAAGTATAAATGTGATTTTTGTACTAGAGACAGAACAATGATTTATTGATAGTGATGCTTACCCTATCCAGACATAATTTTCTAAAGTGCTCTGCATATGTTTAATTATTTCATCCTTACAGCAATACCTAAAGATAGCTACTGTTATTTTCTCCACTTTACCGGGAAGGAAACTGGGGTCCAGCAGTGTGAATTTACTTATTACTACAGTCACCCAGCTAGCAAATAAGTGTAGCTGAGATTCGAACCCAGGCAGCCTGACAGCAGAGTCCATGCTCTTTATCACAAGCAGTTAACATTTCAGTGATCATTATACAGACAGATACACACACATATGCATACACAGTCTTTCCAAAAGGACATATTTTGTAGAATGCAAAGATTTGAACAAATACGCCAAAAACAAATTGGCATAAAAAATTTATCCCTCATACTTCAGCACAGTAAACTAAACTTAAAACTGTGGTGTATCCAGCAATAATTTCATCTATGTGAATGAAATTGAGTTCTTAAATGATTATCAGCCTTTGTGGCCTGTCTCACTGAGTGTCATTTCTGCCAGATGACAAAAGCTGTCTCATAATCTTGGGGTTATTTTTGACTAAGAAGGAATTAACTGATTTATGTCTTATGTTAAGTAGCTTACAGCATCTTACCAGATTCAGCTGATTAACAGCTTGTGAGCGTCTCATTTGTTTTCTTATGTTAATATGAAGGTGTTATGTTTCAGATTTATCATTTGTAGGTTTTTAAAATACAGGGTGAAGGAAACAGTTTACTGACATGAAATAATTTATGATACCAGCAGAGTTTGTAAAATCAAATTTGAAAATGTATACTAAATGTTATTTTATTTGATCATTTTGAAAATGTTTTTTTAATGTCCCAAATGATGGAATATAGATGATGGATTTAATTATTTATGCACTAACTAGACTCTTTTGCTAAAAACAAAGTGGTTTGCTTCTTGGTTACCAGTTTTTAGAACCGAAAATCTTAGTACTTACTATGAAAAGTAAACATTCCAGAAAAGATAGCAACGTATCTACTACCTAGTAATTTTTTATGTCCCTCTCTGTGGGTCCACATGTATCCAGAATCTCCTAGAGACTTACCGTGTAGTCTAAAAAACCCTACAAGCAAATATGTACGTTGAAGCAGTCAAGTTCTCCTGAAACTGTGTGAATGTTTAGTCCTATTAAAAAGGAGAATTTGTCCTCATTTTACTATCAGCTTTGTTCTCCTACCTGCTAACTTGGTTTAAATATTTATTTAGATCGCAGGTGAAGGCCTTCAAGAGTTGCATACATTTTGAAAAAGTCTCTGCAACTATGGGGAGTAGATTTTTGGCTTCTTTACATTGCCTTTTAATCTACTCAGACTCAATTTGGAAACTAAAGTTGTGACTCCCTTTTAGCATAAGGTGTTTTCTAGTCTTTGTTACTTGAAGAACTTGAATACACCAGGTTGGTTGGATATCTTAAGCAGGCTAAACCTTCTTAATTAATAGTCTTTGTCATCTCAAGTGAATTTAACATTTCATTTAATTTAGTACAGAAGAGTGAAAGGAACATTTTTTTCTGGATTATGTGTATTATAAGTTTCCCTGAAAGATCCATATAATCACAAAATACTTTAAAAACTGAAGAAATATTATCAACAATTGCTCTTCTGATTTAGATAAACATAATTCTAGTATAATCCATTATTAGTTTTAAATATCTAGCAATCACAAAATATTAGTATAAATAAAGTATCAGTATAAATATTAGTATAAACAAAATACTAGGATATTTAGTATATTATTTAATTTAGTATAAATAAAATAGTTTTTGAAGAAATAAATGTTAAATTCATCAATTCTAGGATATGTTCTGTTGTGTCCCAAGAGGAAAGCTGTTTTATTTTACTATATTAATTTGGAAGATCCCTAGGAATTTTTCTAGTAGGCCTACATTTCCCAAGTGCAGTAGACCCACACTTGATCTGTTTTGATCATCTTTAGAGAAATAAATTCCTCCACACAATGAGTTTCCCAGATGACTGAACTTTTACAAATGACAATTTTTTTTAAAGTTTGACCAATTCCTAAATTTCTTTTAAATGAATTACCCTTATCACTGCCTTCTTAGACAGAGAAGGCTGAATATAATTTAAAATTTTGGTTTATGATTCAGAGTCACCATTATGACTATCAGTCATTGAGCTATGATACATACAGTGATGTCCTTGGGAGACTGAACTGTGTATGACTGAATGGTTTGGGGCTACTGTGTTTTTGAGCCAGGTGTCTGCTCTTGATTGCTTTTTGTGTTATCTCTACCCTTTGACCCCATACTGTAATAAGTCTGAGTAATCCTCACTTCTACACCCCCTCCAGATTTGCCATATGTGTCTGAGTGAAAGTCAAAAGGCTCTCAGTGATGGACTTCTGCAGTAACATTCATGAATAAGGAAGTGCAGTTGTTGTCGTATCTGTCTTTGGTTTTTTAGAGTAAGATTTTTGGTTTTAGTTTTTTGTTTCCCTAAGCCTTAGGTATGTTGCAGAGTCCGGGGAGAGAGAGAAACATTTATTTGACTGCTTACTTTGTGCCAGGTGGTGGTCTGGATAACTTATATGATCTCACTTAATACTTACCTTGCTAAATATTCACAGCAATCTTATGGATAGATAATATTATTTCCGCATTTTACCATGGGGAGAATGAGAATTAAAGACAGGGACAGGATTTATCTGAGGTCAGATCTCATCCCTATTTTCCACTGACCTTGGTAGTAATCATCTGCATATAACAAGCTGCCTTTCCACTCTGTTGTGCTATTTGACATTCTTAGACAACTTGTTTCTAGGTAAATTAGGTGTTAATTTGTGTAAGTCTCAGATCTTTTGTCCTTGGAGTAAAGGCAGTTTTGAAGTAGGACTAAGGAAAAGATAACCTTAGAAACAGTGGTGTGTGGTTGTTGAACTCTGCTGTTTTAATGTGTTATATAATGTGAAAACGTGTAAAAAGTATGCCAGTATATTAACTGTGAACTTTCCTTTCACAAGGAAGGAAAACCAGGAAAATATTCCTTGGAATCTTGTGAGTGACAAGTGGATGATAAATGTTACACCCCTGGACCAGCTTTTTGTGGCTTTTGCTTTGTAGTTCAGCAGCAGCATTTTATTTGGGTATTAGGTGGTGGCAGCAGGAACCACTGCCCCTTGTGCCCAGCACTCTTCTCACCAGAAGATGAGAAAAGCAAAATGGATGGATGGATGGATGGATGGATGGATGGATGGATGGATGGATGGATGGATGGATGGGTCGGTGAATATATCTGTATGTATGTATATGTCTATATTAATAGGATAGGTTTATAAGTCAGTTGTGTTACATGGAATTAAGTACAGTACATTTTCCATAATAAATAAGTCAGTATATGACAAAATTTAAAATAACATTTATTCATGACTTTACTAATACATGTAGAGTGGTAAATATATTTTATTTTCATGGCAATTTTAAGTGACAGGCCCTCAGAATAAACATCCAAAGTTCAAGTGGATATTTAATTATCAAGAAAAAGATAAATTAACTTTTTAATAAAATTTTTAAACTGTGACTTCAGATTATTGAGTATTGTATAACCTCTTCTTCAATTAGCATGTGAAAGTTTTATTTTAATAATACAGAGTTTTCCTTATTTTTAGTGGTAGGAAAAATGGATTTTAAAAAGCGTAATTTTGACTTTGAAAGTTGATTTTATTAGATATGTTTTTTAATTTCTGTGTAGATCTTTTACGTTTTTACTCTTTTTGGAACTGGAGCTTGATGTCTTTTATATCCTGTCCCATGCATTTGATCACAGAGATGTTGCTGTCCCACTTCTATAACCTACAAGCAAACAGTTCTGTGTTTGTTCCATAGTCAGAGTTCTGCCAAGAAGTCAATTACAGCACTTAAAGAATCCCATCAAGATTTAATATTTGAAAAGGTTTCAAAAGACCAAGTAATTGACTTAATTAGAAAATGACTGGACACAACCTAGTCTCCTTGTTTGGCCTTTCCTTCCTAATAAATTATCTGTTCTTTACTACTACACTCTTTAAAAGTAGAATGCTTTTTTGAGCTTTAGGGCAATATTTTTCATTTGAACTACTCTTCACCATGTTGATAACATGGTTGTTTTCTTACTGAAAAGCAGGGCATTTTCATCTTCATTTATTTGCATTTGTACTATCTCATAACACATACTTAAAACATTTCAACTATCATTTTCATTTATGTATTTTGTTTATTTGATTTGCATATTTTATGTATAAGTACATTTTAAAAAATACCTGTATATTTGTTTCTGAGGCAACAGAATAGTGGTAGTGCTCCAGAGTTGCTTGTTTCTACCAACTCTTGTCGTTGATGATTTGATATTTATAATTCAGCTTTCCCCCCAGGGATTTTTGACACTTATTCTCCTACATAGCAATATACTTGAATTTTCTTGTGGATACTGGCTGGCAACTGAATTTTCTATTTTTGCATTATTTCTGTCACACTGCTGCTTGGATTGCAATGCTGCAAGCAAACCACATGTTTTATCTTTAATCATTCTTTTATTTATAAAAATGTATCTTCTTGCAAGGATCATACATCAGTAATGTAATTTTTCTCATTCTAAAAGTATTGTCTCTAGTGTAATGATGGTGAAGAGTGGTAAGTGGAATCATTACTTCTAGAACATTACTTACATGCTGACTTCATGTTGATTTCCTCACTTAAGCACCTCTTCCCCTTTGGAGATCTGTTGTGTTGACAGCTATTTCAGGTATTTCATCTTCATGACGATGAGAAAATTCATGTTTTTTTCTATCACTCCAGATATATATACGTTGAGCACCCATCTCTAGCTACATTTGATCTCAGTTCTTTTGCCCCTTTATGAATTCTAGGTCCAATTGGAAAAAATAATGGACCTAACATCCAAGGTTCATCTCTCTTGACTTCTTTGCTCTCCTTTGCCATAGCTGTTACTTACTTTGCATCTCCTCTTAGTAACTGAATGCCATGTTTATAATCAAAATTATTTCTTCTCTGATACTTGCCATTGTTTTCTGTCCAGTCTGTGAACTGCCTTCTGGTTCTCATGGCATAATACAAAAGGCCATTACTGCACTTCCTCAAGTGCTGAAAGCTCCCAAATACTGTGAATTTTCTCTCATTTCTCTCATTAGGGTGCAGCATAGATGGCAAGCAAGTTGAGGAACAATCTGCAGCTGCAACTGAAGAAGTGCTTTTTCCTTTCTGTAGGGAACCGAGTTATTTTGAAATCCCTACAAAAGAATTTCAGCAACCTTCACAAATAACAGAGAGCACTATTCATGAAATCCCAACAAAAGACACACCAAGTTCCCACACAGCAGGTGCAGGGCATGCTTCATTTACCATCGAATTTGATGACAGTACCCCAGGGAAGGTAACTATTAGAGACCATGTGACAAAATTTACTTCTGATCAGCGCCACAAGTCGAAGAAGTCTTCTCCTGGAACTCAAGACCTTCCTGGGATTCAAACAGGAATGATGGCACCAGAAAACAAAGTAGCTGACTGGCTAGCACAGAACAACCCTCCTCAGATAATATGGGAAAGAACAGAAGAAGATTCCAAAAGTATTAAAAGTGATGTTCCAGTTTACTTGAAAAGGTTGAAAGGTAAAGTGAATATCATTTCAGAACTTCCTATTTTGTGATAAAGAAAATTCCGTCTTCACAATTACCAAACTATTATTAGATAACTAATTATATGGAGGAAAACTTGGGCTTTTTCAAAGCTTTACATTTGATTCTACATGCAGTAGCAAAACATACTGCCCATGTCTCACTTAGTCATCAAAATAGTCTGCCTTCATTTTCTTGCCAGAACCAAATTGGCCTCATGAATTTTCCTTTTATCCATTAAATATGTTTCTTTTTCCTATGGAAATAAAAGATACATTCAGTTTCACAGTGAAATTCCTTGGAAGATAATTTCATCATTTTCTTGACTTAAGAGAAAGTTATATTCAATGCTGTTTTTTATTGTGATACTTCCAGTAAAATGGCAATGTCTAGATTTTGAAAGAAATTCTAAGCCATTTGATAATGGGCCAAAAAGTCTACCTTGGTAATATAGTCACATTTTTGATAAAGTGTTTCAAACTGTCCTCAGCAAAAATTTTTGGTTTAGAAATACTGGTAATCAATCAAATTAAACATTTTCTCAATATTGAGATTATAATGAAAATCACAATTGAATGTTTATTTGTGAAATAATTGTATATATGCTTTATTAGTGTAACACTTGGTCAGAATTGGTAGTTCTCTATACCTGTGCATTGAGGGAACAGCTAATCAGTTTTTTTCCATTGGATTTGCTTATTAAATTTATTTTCGAATTTATTAAATGCAGATTTGTGTTATTTTATCTTTTATTTAACAGGTTCTCTATAAGGGAAATGACTGATTATTCTGTTACTATACAGGGAGTTAATAAGCTTTAAAAAAAAATACTCATGAGGCAGAGACTACTACCTTTTATCTCTAATTCTTCACCTGAAACTTGAGTATGTGAGAGCTACTCAGTAATTTGAATAATGAATGAATGACTTCACTACTGATGACAAGACTGACCCTGGCTTAACCCATACCTTTTGCCCTGGGATTCTGATCAAGTAATGAAGGAATAACCTATTTCTGATTTGCTAAGACGTTTTCTAAGACATTTCAGGATAGTGAGATAGCGAGATTACCTGATTCTTTATTGGGATCTATTACTATATTTGATTATAATCATAAGCAGTTATCTGGCATATGTATTTTTGACATGTGATTATCATCTTTTACTTCTATTAGATAATATTAAGAGCACATTTGAGACCTATTATGTACCTATAGGTTAAAATGCACAAATAAAACCTACCCATTTGTAAATTGACCATTTATATGAACTCAATAAGTGATACTGATATCTTAATATAATATAAAAGGTGGCATAATCCTTGAAAATTTAGAGAAACAGTACTTTTTAAACCACTCTTTAATAAATGTACCAAAAATGAGCCAGAAGATTCTTTTTAAAGCTACCAGTTAAAAAATATCTTTATTAAACCATTTTATTGTTATTTTAGTATTCATAACTATTTTTTGTATTAGCTATTTCTGTTCAGCCATCATTTCTAGACATTCTTTGTTCTTGAACAAGGCCCATTTGTAAGCCTTTTTCCAAATAGAGGCATTAATGATTAGATATTTTGAAAACTTTACCAGAAATTATGCAATCAAATTACTGTTTCCCTCAAAGTTGATTTATAGGTAGAGAATATTCCAGTATGTTGCCATTGTTCAGAACCCTTCTTTTAGTTTTTTGTTTTGCCATCAGACCATTTTACAGACCATCCAAGAAAATGTCTTCGTGAATATAACTCATTTTTGGTTCAAGACGAATCCATTTTATTTCTCCAGACATATTTGTGGATGACATCAAACTTTTCCCCAAAGTCAGAACTGCCATCATTAGATAAAGATTTCCCACAATTTAGGCCATCAAAGGTATATACCTATACTCTAAATAAATGTCATTATAGCAAATAGTAGCAATTCTACAATAATAGGTCTTTCAGCAAGTGTTTAGATCAAAAACTTGAAAGTAGGCAAAACAAAACAAAAGCAAAAAATGTGGCTTCTACAAGAGTAAAGTGCACGCGCTTTGGGACAGTGGAGAAAATAATGTTCACAAAGCCCATACACTTTTACCCTTTAGGAGAGGTGCAGCTTCTTTTGACCACAGCTACTGACATAGTATCACTAGCCCCTTCATTTGGTTTCCCTCCCTACCCTGAAAACACTAAAAGAACTTCAGCATATTTAGGCTTGGCTAATAATAGACAAAACAGGAAGACAGGAACTTGGTGAGGAGAGTTTCCTAGTGATATTTTTGTTCAGTAAAAACAGAAATTGCAGTTTGGACCAGATGTCTCACTTGTATAACACTGAGAAATACAAGAAGGAATAATAGTTTTCTTACAGAAAAGAAAACAGCTAATTAAAAAGGGCAAGTTTTAAACTACAGCTTAAAGAAAAGATACTGAAAAACCTGATACCACATAAGTGCCCAATTTTGTATGTTGGGACAAGAACTAAATTCTGTGAAGATGGTGTATTCATTTTGTGTATGACTGGGATGTGGTTTATTTGGTCTTATTATACAGGAAATAATTTGAGTTCAGTTATTTCCATCTCTTACAAGCTGGATTCCTTTTCAATATATCCAGTGCAACAGTGAAATAGATTTGAAAATGTCATGTTTTTAACAAGTTTTGTATTTGAACTGATGGTTTTTGTCTGTTTTGGCATTCCATCTGTCATCCCTGATTCCTAGCTTAATTACCTGGGGTAGGCATGAATTAAACACCTTCTTTTTTTCTTTTCAGATTGCATTTTGAATAGTTGCTAATTTGAAGAAAGATTTTAAGCTTTGTTGTCATGTCTGATGTCAATAATAGCAGTCACTGTCACTCTGCTGGGAGGTCCCCAAACCCCTTCATTTGGTCTCCTTCCCCCACTCACCTGCTACTTTTCCAACTGTCACCCTTTTCTGCGTACTCAGTGCTTCTCTCTTCTGAGTCTTCTCACGCCTTTTATATACCACATTTTTACAGCCAGTCCTCTTGTATTAAATCATTAGCATCAGTTGTGTAAATCCTAAATTCATTAGAAACAAGCCTATGACTGTTAGCTCAATCTTTTCTTTGCACAGGTGTCCTTGAGCCTCACAGTCCCCACATCTTTCAGGTCTGATCATTGTCTTGTGTGATGCCACGTTATTCAGCAGCTATTTAGATTAAAGTCTGTAGCCTCTGAAAATGTAAAACTCGAGTTTAGTCCTGGATGCATTGGAGTGTACCTGGTTGACTAGATAAATTTGTAGTTTTCCTCTGAAGATGCCATCATTTAAGCCCTCATTTTTTATTCAGTCTAAAGCATGAATAGAATAAATTTTTGCCTTCCTGATGAATTTATGCTATAATATAATAATTATTTATTTCTTCTGATACTTACTATTTAGGTAGTAGAATTATGAATTAGTGAAAAATCAAGTAGTTTCAATGAAGTTTCATTTAATCCTTATAGAACTAGGTAGGGTAACAAAAACCTCTGTTAGGAAGTTGATATTTCAGAATTTAAATATATTCTAAAATGACTGTATGCTTTATGGAGAAAACAATTTTTATCTGTTTATATTTAACACCAAACCATTTGCCCAGTAGATGCATACATGTATGTAAGATTTCAGAGACTATACTTTTCCATGGTAGACCTTTTAGCATGCTTTATTTAACTCTTTGAAGCCATAAATTTAGAGCACAAATGCAAATTTTCAAAAAATTTCTTACAGTTAGAAAGGCATTTGTAAGGAATTGTACAGTCATTGGTGGAAGCTACAAACATGCATCTTTTTATTAAAATACTTTTGGAAGTATTGAACATCATTGAAAGTTAAGATTCATCAGATTTTTATGGCATTTGTATTCTCTTTTCCTGTGTAATTACCCTTTTTTCTGTTGTCCCTTTTCCTCTCTAACGCTAGAGACAAGTTTTTGATTCTTAAATAGGCAATCAAAGGATCAATGTTTGTTAATGTTATAAATACACACTATCACAAATGATATAGCATTGCTTATCTATTAAGGCATTGATGAGTCATTATAAAGTTAAAATTTGTAGAAGGAAAAGCAAATGCATTCAGTTGTTCACAAAGGCCTTCATTGTTGGTTGAATTAAAATTTGAGGGAAGTTCACGAGCCTGTTACTGACAAGAACATAGGACTTTGGATTGTAAGGGGGGAAAGTACAAAACAAATAGCACTTTTGTATATGCTTCTGATTTTCTACATGGGATTTTATTCCTGCTCTATTATGTGGATTCTTTTTTTGTGTCCAGGGAATAAACATGATGATGTGAGATTACCTGATTCTTTATTGGGATCTATTACTATATTTGATTATAATCATAAGCAGTTATCTGGCATATGTATTTTTGACATGTGATTATCATCTTTTACTTCTATTAGATAATATTAAGAGCACATTTGAGACCTATTATGTACCTATAGGTTAAAATGCACAAATAAAACCTACCCATTTGTAAATTGACCATTTATATGAACTCAATAAGTGATACTGATATCTTAATATAATATAAAAGGTGGCATAATCCTTGAAAATTTAGAGAAACAGTACTTTTTAAACCACTCTTTAATAAATGTACCAAAAATGAGCCAGAAGATTCTTTTTAAAGCTACCAGTTAAAAAATATCTTTATTAAACCATTTTATTGTTATTTTAGTATTCATAACTATTTTTTGTATTAGCTATTTCTGTTCAGCCATCATTTCTAGACATTCTTTGTTCTTGAACAAGGCCCATTTGTAAGCCTTTTTCCAAATAGAGGCATTAATGATTAGATATTTTGAAAACTTTACCAGAAATTATGCAATCAAATTACTGTTTCCCTCAAAGTTGATTTATAGGTAGAGAATATTCCAGTATGTTGCCATTGTTCAGAACCCTTCTTTTAGTTTTTTGTTTTGCCATCAGACCATTTTACAGACCATCCAAGAAAATGTCTTCGTGAATATAACTCATTTTTGGTTCAAGACGAATCCATTTTATTTCTCCAGACATATTTGTGGATGACATCAAACTTTTCCCCAAAGTCAGAACTGCCATCATTAGATAAAGATTTCCCACAATTTAGGCCATCAAAGGTATATACCTATACTCTAAATAAATGTCATTATAGCAAATAGTAGCAATTCTACAATAATAGGTCTTTCAGCAAGTGTTTAGATCAAAAACTTGAAAGTAGGCAAAACAAAACAAAAGCAAAAAATGTGGCTTCTACAAGAGTAAAGTGCACGCGCTTTGGGACAGTGGAGAAAATAATGTTCACAAAGCCCATACACTTTTACCCTTTAGGAGAGGTGCAGCTTCTTTTGACCACAGCTACTGACATAGTATCACTAGCCCCTTCATTTGGTTTCCCTCCCTACCCTGAAAACACTAAAAGAACTTCAGCATATTTAGGCATGGCTAATAATAGACAAAACAGGAAGACAGGAACTTGGTGAGGAGAGTTTCCTAGTGATATTTTTGTTCAGTAAAAACAGAAATTGCAGTTTGGACCAGATGTCTCACTTGTATAACACTGAGAAATACAAGAAGGAATAATAGTTTTCTTACAGAAAAGAAAACAGCTAATTAAAAAGGGCAAGTTTTAAACTACAGCTTAAAGAAAAGATACTGAAAAACCTGATACCACATAAGTGCCCAATTTTGTATGTTGGGACAAGAACTAAATTCTGTGAAGATGGTGTATTCATTTTGTGTATGACTGGGATGTGGTTTATTTGGTCTTATTATACAGGAAATAATTTGAGTTCAGTTATTTCCATCTCTTACAAGCTGGATTCCTTTTCAATATATCCAGTGCAACAGTGAAATAGATTTGAAAATGTCATGTTTTTAACAAGTTTTGTATTTGAACTGATGGTTTTTGTCTGTTTTGGCATTCCATCTGTCATCCCTGATTCCTAGCTTAATTACCTGGGGTAGGCATGAATTAAACACCTTCTTTTTTTCTTTTCAGATTGCATTTTGAATAGTTGCTAATTTGAAGAAAGATTTTAAGCTTTGTTGTCATGTCTGATGTCAATAATAGCAGTCACTGTCACTCTGCTGGGAGGTCCCCAAACCCCTTCATTTGGTCTCCTTCCCCCACTCACCTGCTACTTTTCCAACTGTCACCCTTTTCTGCGTACTCAGTGCTTCTCTCTTCTGAGTCTTCTCACGCCTTTTATATACCACATTTTTACAGCCAGTCCTCTTGTATTAAATCATTAGCATCAGTTGTGTAAATCCTAAATTCATTAGAAACAAGCCTATGACTGTTAGCTCAATCTTTTCTTTGCACAGGTGTCCTTGAGCCTCACAGTCCCCACATCTTTCAGGTCTGATCATTGTCTTGTGTGATGCCACGTTATTCAGCAGCTATTTAGATTAAAGTCTGTAGCCTCTGAAAATGTAAAACTCGAGTTTAGTCCTGGATGCATTGGAGTGTACCTGGTTGACTAGATAAATTTGTAGTTTTCCTCTGAAGATGCCATCATTTAAGCCCTCATTTTTTATTCAGTCTAAAGCATGAATAGAATAAATTTTTGCCTTCCTGATGAATTTATGCTATAATATAATAATTATTTATTTCTTCTGATACTTACTATTTAGGTAGTAAAATTATGAATTAGTGAAAAATCAAGTAGTTTCAATAAAGTTTCATTTAATCCTTATAGAACTAGGTAGGGTAACAAAAACCTCTGTTAGGAAGTTGATATTTCAGAATTTAAATATATTCTAACATGACTGTATGCTTTATGGAGAAAACAATTTTTATCTGTTTATATTTAACACCAAGCCATTTGCCCAGTAGATGCATACATGTATGTAAGATTTCAGAGACTATACTTTTCCATGGTAGACCTTTTAGCATGCTTTATTTAACTCTTTGAAGCCATAAATTTAGAGCACAAATGCAAATTTTCAAAAAATTTCTTACAGTTAGAAAGGCATTTGTAAGGAATTGTACAGTCATTGGTGGAAGCTACAAACATGCATCTTTTTATTAAAATACTTTTGGAAGTATTGAACATCATTGAAAGTTAAGATTCATCAGATTTTTATGGCATTTGTATTCTCTTTTCCTGTGTAATTACCCTTTTTTCTGTTGTCCCTTTTCCTCTCTAACGCTAGAGACAAGTTTTTGATTCTTAAATAGGCAATCAAAGGATCAATGTTTGTTAATGTTATAAATACACACTATCACAAATGATATAGCATTGCTTATCTATTAAGGCATTGATGAGTCATTATAAAGTTAAAATTTGTAGAAGGAAAAGCAAATGCATTCAGTTGTTCACAAAGGCCTTCATTGTTGGTTGAATTAAAATTTGAGGGAAGTTCACGAGCCTGTTACTGACAAGAACATAGGACTTTGGATTGTAAGGGGGGAAAGTACAAAACAAATAGCACTTTTGTATATGCTTCTGATTTTCTACATGGGATTTTATTCCTGCTCTATTATGTGGATTCTTTTTTTGTGTCCAGGGAATAAACATGATGATGGTACACAAAGCGATTCAGAAAATGCTGGGGCTCACAGGCGCTGTAGCAAACGTGCCACTCTAGAGGAACACTTAAGGCGTCAGCATTCAGAGCAGAAGAAGCTACAGAAGGCCCCGGCTGCTGAAAAGCATCAAGACCACGATGTTGTAAGTCAAACTGCTTTTATGATTGCATTCTTTAATGAAGACAATCCCAGAAAAAGAAGGTCTTGTTCTTTTACTCAGAGTAGGGGAATATGTGTCAGGAAACTACTTTTTCAACACCCCATACAAAACTTGAAAAAACAAAATCTCCAACAGCAGCTGCCAAAGTGGTTTCTTTGTCTTTACAGACTAGCTCTACGCATCACAGAGGGGGGCGTGGTGTTCCACATGGGAAACTGTTAAAACAGAAATCAGAGGAGCCATCAGCGTCAATTCCCTTCCTACAAACTGCATTATTAAGAAGTTCAGGGAGTCTTGGGCACAGACCAAGCCAGGAGATGGATAAAATGTTAAAAAATCAAGCTACTTCTGCTACTTCTGAAAAGGATAATGATGATGAGCAAAGTGACAAGGGCACTTACACTATTGAGTTAGAGAATCCCAACAGTGAGGAGGTGGAAGCAAGAAAAATGATTGACAAGGTAAATAATAAAAAATTGGGGTACAGTGTTTTCATTTGGTGTATTGGACTTTTGGAAATTATTGGAGGGTCAGCATGTAATGTTCTCATGCAGTCAGTGCTGGGACTTTAGGATTTCACTACGGAACTGCAAGACTAATGATAAGACTGAAATGCTTTCTGAGTTTATTCTGTTTACATTCTGAGTTGGCCTGGTATTCATATGTACAGTCCTGTATATTTAAGCTATTTGGGCCTTTTTTAAGTTGTATAAATTTAAGTTAGGATTGTAAAACAATACTTTGGCCATTCTGACTCCACTTATTTTTAAAACTAAAAACTAAAAGAGAGCCAGATTGCTATGACTCTTAATAGAAACATAAATGTTAGCTGTTAATAGTTAACCACAGGTTTCCTGCCTACTAATGTCATGCTCGAAGTAAATGAAAATGCATGGTTTTTTTTATTAAGGTATCATTGATGTACAATCTTATGATGGTTTCACACAAACAACACAGTGGTTTCAATATTGACCCATATTATCAAGTCCTCACCCACTCTATTGCAGTCACTATCAGCGTAGTAAGATGCTATAGAGTCATTAATTGTCTTCTCCATGCAAAGTACATCTGTTTTAATCAATTTTGTTCTTTGTCCTTATGTTCTTCTCTTGATTTCTATTTACTGCTGTCTTTGGTGTATAAAGTTTAAGAAGGAAAAAGTGTATGAGAACCAAATGAGTTTATGATACTTTGAATTCAGACAAGTGTGTGCCCAGTCATGCTGATATTTTCCATTTCAGATTTGTTCTTTGATGTTACTAGTTCATGTATATAATGCTTGTTGTATGGTTGAGGAAGTAATTTTTCAGTTTTGCCCATGGAAATGGAAAGTTGACTTTAGAATCAGCTGTTTGTTTACTCAGTGGAAACTAGCAGCATAAGTTTGGATAAACATAAATCTCTTGCTTACTTCTTTTGATTTAGCATCTGAGGCATTAGCATCACTTAGGAATTCATTAGAAATACTGAAGAATTTCAGGCCTAAACACTGGATCAGTCTGCTTTAAAAGCACAGTCTCCACGTGATTCATATGCACAGTAACACTGGAGATACACTGGTACAGACGGTGAGTTAATTAGAAGTAGTCTTTCAGGGAGTAGACAAAGTAGCCCTTTGGGATGCAGGAAAATGACTTGGACTTCTGTTTACTATTAATTTCATAGGTTTTATTTCCACTTTGAAGTGAGCTCTATAGTGTATGTAATCTGTTCTTCTATTGGTATACACTTAAAATTTCTAAACATACATTTATTGAGGAGCACATGTTCAAATGTATGTGCTGTTGTTGGGTATAACTCCAAACTTTTGGAGACCCAGTAGTCTAGGAAATATTATGTGAGCAATTTTATGATAGTTATGAAGAGAAATATAGCACGTAAGAAACAAATGAATAAAGCAAGTTATCTGACTATATTAAAGGAAGTCTAAGGATATAGTGTTAGCATAGAAAATGACTTGGGAATTTTGTATAATTTTCATTATTGGGAATTAATAATGACATTTCTTTCAGATTATTTTAAAGTCTGTAGTTTTCCTTCTGGTTATTAAGAACAAATATATTGTTATTTAAAATACTGTCAAGTAGAAATTAGGTTTTGATAAAAACGGTAAAAAGTTTTAAAATTCAGATTAACATTAATTTTGTCCTAATCTTTTGTTTGGTTTATGGATGCTTATAGTTATCAGTGTTTTCTCTAGTAAAAACAGTATTTTACGGTGAGAGTTTATAGTATTTAAGAATGTGAATGCTTACAGGTAGACAGATCTGGGATTAAGTAAAAACTGCATATGCTATATGTGTGCCCTTTAGTAAACTAAACCCTTTAATCTTCTGTTTCTTCTCTAAAGTGGAAGAATTTGGTTAGAAATTCATTAGATTATAAAAAGAATTTGGTAAAATAAAGTGCTTGTTACAATGCCTATATTATAATTAGAGGTCTATAAATATTAGCTATGTTATTGCCTTTGCAAGGAGTTTCCACATATGAGTCTCTAGACAGAGTACTAATAAATCCTGGAACGTTCTTTCAGCACTGAAATGGTCAGTTTGAAGCCCAAGTGGAAGTTACAGCCCTAGAGCACAGCCTGGCCAGAGCAGCAGAAGCCAAGAAAGAAGTCATTGTTGTAGATGAGATTCTTTAGGAAACTGCTGGGTAGAGAGGGCGACTGCAAAACCTGATGTACACCTGCTGTCTGTAATTACCATAAACATCTTATTTTCACATCCAAAAGAGTCTCAGTTTCAGTGACAAATTATGGTCACACTGTGGATAAAGAAAACCAAGATTTTAAAGCAGGATTCATTAAAGGGAATAATGACAGCATGTGACTAAGTAGATAATTCAGAGTCATTCTTAGTTTGTATAAACCAGAAAATAAAACTGACCATAACTGCAGGGAAAAACAAAGGTCTCTTCATTACCTTGTGAATACCAAAAAAAGCTGAGATTCTAAGATTCTATTAAGCTGTGGTTAAAGCTAGAAGCCAAATTCAGGCCAACTGTAGTCAGGCTTTGGGGAAACAAGCACGGAGACAGGAGTCAAATGTCAAAATGAAGTAACCTGAGGGCATGGAGAAAATAGACCAAAAATAGCCCAACTCAAGGCAGGAGAAGCACTCTGGGAGGATTGGAGTAATGCAGGCATCCCATAAAACTGCTAGGATGGTTCTGTCATCTTGTTCTCCCTTTTGAAGTTAGGGGTGTGGTATACACCTGGGGTCATTGGTGCTGACTATCTGAATTTATTGTTGTTGAGTCTTGAAAACTTGCATATGGTTTCTCTTGCACTGCACCATTTGAGAGCTGGCTTATTTCACTGATTTACTGAGTCAACAACATTAGTGTGTGCCAGGGTTTGTCTTAGGAGAGAGAAATTCAGATTCAAAGACAATCTTCCTTTCAAGAAATGAGTAGGTAGAGGGATGGAAATACACAAGTAAAAACAAATGAATAAAAAGTAGTCTGATGAATGCTTTGATAGACATAAACTGTTGGAAGAAGGTACTAGTAGCTTCCAAGAGGAGATGTTAGATTAAATATCCTTTCCTCAAAGAAGTATTTGGCTGTGTGATCTTAAAAGAACTTCCCCAGTCACTTCTTGTTTCATTTTAATCACAAGCTTTATCACAACTTGATAGTTTTCTATTTTTCACCACCTTACTCCCCCATCACACACATACATACACAGACACATACACATGAATGTAAACTCCATGACAACAGGAAACATAATGCCGTGGTGTTTTGGGTGTCCTCCATAAAAATTGAATTTAGTTGCCAACTGCGTTCATTTTGAAACAGGTAAAATTAATTCCACAACAGGCATGGTAAAGTAGGATTTTCCTGAAATACAGAGCAACCTGTTCAAAAGCATGGGAGGTAGAGGACTTGTTACAGGACCAGTTACTTTAGAAAGATTGGTCTTGATGTTGAATGCCCTTGTGTATCATATATGAAGGAGTCTGGGGTTTTTAATACATGCTGAAGGCAGTGGAGAATAATTGAAAACTTTTAAGTAAAGCAGTGGCAATCTAATATCCACTGTCATAAGTGTGAAGAATGACTTGACATTTGGAAAGGCTGGAAGCAGAGAAGTCAGTTAGAAAGCTACCACATGTCCAGTAGTCTGTTGGATGTTAAATGTCTGGATCTTAGGTAAGAGGTCTGAGCTAAAATACTAATTTGGGAATTATTAGAGAGTAGCTGAATGCAAAATAATAGATGAAATCTGTTAGAAAGAAGGAACAGAGTGAGAGGAGACAAAGTATGAAATTCCTAGTGGCACTAACATTGGTGGACAAAGGAATGAGTGAAAAGAGGAGGCTGAAAGGGATTAAACAAAGGAGGAAAAAACCTAGATAAAAGATCATCTTGGAACCAAAAACAGAATTAAAAAGAAGTGAATAAGCCACAGTATCACATGATACACTGATGTTAAGGAAGATAAGCACTGAGTGCCTTTTCTATTTTGTGCCTAAATTCATTGTATTCCTAGAGATATCTGTGAGTGTTTAGCAGTACCTAGCTAACAGCTGAGCTCCTGAAACACCTGCTCGGCCAGGAACAGGTAAGATGGGCGTCAGTGAGCAGGCAGATTTTAGGGATGAAAAGAAGGAATACATGGCAAAGAAATGAGCCACAAAGAGGAGATAAATTGGACATTTTAACTGTAGAAGCATGAGATTAGACCTGAGTATAATGTGAAGGTATGACAGAAGGTGCTAAAAGAGTAGGAACGGTGACCAGTGGTGGAAAGGAAGGGATTGTAGACATAATTCTCCTAAGGAATGGAAGGAATCCAGGACGTGGAAAAGATTCAGGGAGAGGGCAAAGAGTTGACAGTGTTTTCACCCAGAGAGAGATAAAAAGGAAAAAGATAAAAGCTAGATGGTACCTTTAAGAATTTTTTGAAGTAAAATTCACGAAACATTCACCATTTTAACCCTTTAAAGTAGACAGTTCAGTATATTCACAGAGTTGTGTGGCCATTAACAGTATCAAAGCCCAAGACAATTTTCATCCCCCCAACCCCAAAAGAAACTCCATACCCATTAAGTAGTCACTTCCCCTTCCTCTCTCCCCCAGCCCCCAGCAACCATCAGTCTACTGCCTATGGCTATGGATTTGCTGCTTTGGAGACATAATCAGTGGAATTATATATTATGTGTCCTTTTATGACTAACTTCTTTCAACTAGTATGTTTTCAGGGTTCATCCATGATGGGACAGGTGTCAGTACTTCATTGCTTTTTATGACTGGATAACTTACCACTGTGTGGATATGCCACATTTTACTTATCCATTCATCTGTTGGTGGACATCTGGGTTATTTCCACCTTTTGGCTATTGTATATAATGCTGCTATGAATCTGCATGTATTTTTGTTTATTGGTATACCATGATAAATTATGTCTCTTCTACTACCATTCTGAGCTCCTTTTTCTAACAATTTTGTCTAAATTTTAAATTTAAAGTCAATTATAAAGATCGCAATGTTAAACATTCAGAACAATTTATTCCACTGAATTTTACAGGAGTTTTCTTTTTAAAAATGAAACTACATTTTTATAGAAATTACTACAAGTTTTTAAAAATTCTCCTATATTAAATCATCCTGATTTTGTTCCCTGTCAGTGGCTAGAATTCTGTGTAGTTCTTAACGTATTTGTGTCAAGTGATTTTCACAGAAAGGAAATGGCTAGTGGGAACCATTACTTTTGATTTGAACTGGTAAAGATCCTGCTTTCCTTCCCCAGGAGGGTCTTGCTCACTGATGGAAGACATGTTCTGGTCCTCTGAGATTGAAACTTGAGTGCGTTTCTACTGAGACACTTTGATATGACTGATAAACCAATGCAGTAGTATTCTTCAGTTGTTATTTTAAAGCAAGCCCACAAAAGCTATTTAACCTACCATTTTGTTTCTCATTCTGTGGGAAGATGAATTCTGAATTTCAACTGAATTGAAAAATTTTTTAAATAATTACTTACAGACTGCTGGCTGTTGAATTACCATTTTGCTCTACTTTTATATTACTGTATTTATATGCCTCAGTCCGCCCCCTTCCCCTTTTCACACTGGTCTCTCTTTTGTCACAATTTGCAAACTACCTGTATCTGACGTTACCAAATAGAATTGGACCTCTTTTTACAAATATTCAGTAGGCGGGATATTTACCCCCATGAAAATTGACCCAGTGTTCTTTGGTTTGATATACGATGATTCTCCCTTCCCCAGCCCTCCAATTTCAGAATTAGGAACTATGGACATTTTTTGTGTAGTCTGAGCTTTTAAATAATAACAACAATATGCTAGTGGAAAAAAGCAAGGTCAGACGTCTCAGAGATTTTTTTGTATTATATATACTAGTCCTTTATCATCTGAACAATTTCATTTCTTTCAATTTTAAACTAAGATCTAAAAATACAGTCTGGTTCTTATGGATAGTTTAACTACCCCTCTGGATGGGTCAGGTGGTGATGTTTTTTTTTTTTTGGTAAGCTTCCTGTATTAGACCTAAGCTCCCTGACAGCAAGGACTAAAGTCAGGTATATTTTTGAGGCCTGTGGTGGTTAGTACAGTAGCCAGAGACATTAAGTACCATACCTCAGGATCAGATTGATTGTTAAAATTGTTTAGATTGCCACTGAGTATAGACATTAAATCCCAAAGTGAGGTACCAGATAACACATGCACATATTCAAAAGAAAGATTGAGAAGATGTCCCAAAATTCTTGGAGTGGGATGATGAGGGAGGTGCTATCTTCTTATCCTAATCCTATCGCTCCCCAGAATAGAGATGTGCCACCTGAATGAAAGGAGCTATAGGAGAGAGCATTTGAAAGCCACTCCCCATCCCTAAAATAAATGAGTTATCTTTAAAAGTCTGCCAGGCCCAGAGAGTTCAGGTAGTACAAATTCAAAAATAAAAGTTCTGTCCCGTATCACTCCTTCCTTTTGCTCTCTCCTGGAAGAATTAGAAACCGACTGGCAAACCTGGGATGGAGGGTTCTATTAGAGAGGGAGCGTAAAGGTTAGACAAGTCTCTGGCCTCTGTCCTTACTCCACTTTAGACTTCTAGCCTAAAGAAGTTGCCAGCTGAATGAGAGACCCCAATTTTGTCCTGTGTGAAGTTGGGGAATTGATTGAGCCCAGGTCAAAGTAGAGAAGAAAAGAAATCATGAGCCTGGGTTAAACATACAGCATTTGAAATACTTTTGAGTCATCTGGGGAGAGAGGACAGTCGGGTGAGTGGCTACCTATACTTGGAAAACTGAAGTGAAGCTTGGGATGTAGATGAAATCACGTAGGGACAAAATTTGTAATGTAAAGAAAGTCTGGCAAACTTGATCTCTGCTCTGAGGTGCTCTCACCTCAAGTTCCGCCCAACTCTTAGACTGTAGTCAGATTATACGTACTTTTTAAAATGTGAAAAGTATATTAGCTTTGAAGTACATGGACAGTATAAGCGGTTTATGTCCTCTTTGTTTTCACATGAAAGTTGTCACAAGTAGATGTTTTTGTACCTACAACACGAAAGAGACAATGTGGAATTGAAGTTGGGGTAGTCATTGCCATCACAAATTTTTCAAAACAGAACTTGAAGGCTTCTTTTCCCATAAGTAGTACTTCAGGTCCTATCACTTATTTGGAAAATAAGTAATTGTTACTTCTCTGACAGATAACATGTCTACTGTCTCTAATGCTCTAAAAGGAATCTGCAGGAAGTCAGCTGAGTACTCTTTACTGTATAACTGCAGCTCCCTTCCTAAAAGCATTGCTTCTTTGTATGTATGTCTTTGTTATCATTTCAAAATAGTGTCAGAGTAATTTGGAGAGATTTATTGTATTTTATTTGAAACTGCTGGTGCTTAGATGTTTGAGGAAATTGAATTCCATTTTGAGTATGGATTAGAATGAGGTATCACCAAATTGGAAAATCAATTAAGATCATTTGTAAATTAACATGCCAAAAGATACAGCATGCTGGCATCACATGTGGTTATTTTTATCTTTTACCTCCAAACTTGAATTAGGTTTTTTCCCTAGTTATTATGAAAATAAGGACATAAATTTAAATAAATGTAGAGTTCAGTGACTTAATTTAGAATGATTTAGAAATCATTTACAACAGTCACAAGTAGCTTAAGTATCTCTCATTTGTTTCTTTACAAATAGGGCTAAAGACAGAGCACACAGAAAAGTACATGCAGTGTTTTTTACTGCTTGTTTTATTAAAATCTCTTATGTTTAGCAAAATGAAGCAGGCTTTTTTCCTTTGTACATCATGTTTCTGTGTATTAATTCATATTTGACTCAAAGTTACTGATATACAGTATGCTCTTAAAAAAGTAAAGAAAATTTGAATACTGAGTGGTTCAATAGAATATTAAATCATAATTCTTAAAAATTATTGTTATATTTGAATTAAATATTAAGTAATAGGGCCATCTAGTGATAAAATTTCCAAGTTTCAGTGACTTTGAAAATCTAATCCCTGCTTTACTAAATGTGAACTTGAGAATTTATCAGATAGGTGTACTGTATGATCATTAAGAAACCTATGTATGATCATTAAGAGAATAGTTTAAACCTAAAGCATTTTTCTCTTTTTACAGCAAATAAGGCTCTTTGCTTATGTTCTAAAGATCCTTACTACAGAGCTAATTCAAACGCATATTTTTCTTGATTGTAACAAATAGAACAATACATATTACCTGTAAATAATAAGCATTGGGAACAAAAAACTTAATGGTATAATGCAGTGTTAATAAGTTTATGGAGTTAAACCTTTCTCCAGTCTATTCGACACCATCAGGTCCTGTTATGTGCCAGGAAATTTTAAGACTCAGGTCCTGCCCTTCAAAGCACATGATTATTGATCTCTGTATTTGAAATAATTTCATAAGTGTTGACTATGGACAACCTGCTTATTGAAAATGCCTATCTGTGTGAATAGACCCAGGAATCTGCATTTCAAAGGCCTTTGAGTGATATTTAGGCAAAGCTTAAGAAATACACTGTATTCTATACAAAGATCACACAAAAAAATCTGTTACTTCAGACCTTAGAAAATTATATGTATGAATATGTCATACATGTAAATGTTAAACATTTACTAGGGTAGGAACAGATAATATCAGCCATATGCTACAGTTTTCATCATGCTTCTCAAAAAATAAAAGAGCAAAGAGACAAGCTGAAGTGTTTCCTCTTTGCATTATAATTTTAACATTATCAGTATCTTTTAACAAATCAAATGTGATATCCTGAATATTTCTTATTATCAAACAGTACATTTGCTAAGTATTAAAAAGGATATTTATATAAGCTGCCACTGCCCTGTTTTCCTCTCCCATTGGAACATTACCTTTTGAAATTAATTTAGAATATTTTGACTTGCCTCTGAAGTTATTGACAATAGTCACATACTAATCTGGTGCTCAGACTTTTCATTTATAAAATAATTTTCTCCTCCTAGGTGTTTGGAGTAGATGACAATCAGGATTATAATAGGCCTATTATCAATGAAAAACATAAAGATCTGATAAAAGATTGGGCTCTCAATTCAGCTGCAGTAGTAATGGAAGAAAGAAAACCACTGAGTATACCTGGATTTCACAGCTCAGAGGTACACACATCTCATACTTCTACACTCATGAAATGGAAATTTTTATCATTTACAATTATTTTAAGTAGTTGATATATCCCTTTGAAAAATATTTCTGAAACAAGTTCTCCTAAATTATTTCTAATAAAAGCCTAAAACTCTTTTGCAATAATTCCATTTCAGTTATTATTATTATGTTCTTTTAAATTAACATTCTTTTGTCAGTGAGGGAAAATGTTGGGTATCAATAAGGAGTCACTGAGTTGCATGGTCACTGCTCTAATGGCATTATGAGATAAAACAAACATATGCACTGCTTAAACTTTCTAGGAGGCAGTGTATTTGGAATGGAAAGATGTGTCTGGTGTGCCAGGAAGCCTGGGCAAAGTAGTGCCTGTTAGATGCAACTCACATACCTAAATAAATGTCAGTGCAGTATAACACAGGGTGTGAGATTGATTAAGGATGGCTGGTTAACCTACTTAGGGAATCTGGGATAGGAGAGCTAGAAGGACTTGAGGGCAAGCCCCCGAACTGCCACATGTAACCCTCATCTAGAGGGCCTTTGAGTTAGGTCCTTCCCCCTCTCGTATCTTCAGTTTTCCTATCTATACAGATGGTGTTTTTGATAAAACCAATTTACAAGGAGTTTAACCAAGTATGTAAAGCATCCAGCATGGTAATTGTCTAAGATTTATGCAGTGAACAAATGTTTCTTTCCCTCATTGGAAACAGTGTTAGAATTTCATTACACACAGATACATCAAGATGAAGTGTAAAAAAATGCATTAAACTGAGAAGAGTTGATTAATTCTAGTTACTCAGATACTAAGAGCTCTCATTCAGTGGCAGGTTTGTGTGTGCCATTTGACAAATAAGGAAACTGAAATATGTTGAAACTACCTTGGCCACAGTCTTGAAACTAGCACCTTATAGAGCTAGAATTTACACCTTAAGCAGCCTTGATTTCTGAACTCATTCTCTTCCTCGTTATGTTCTACTGCCTCTCAGGAACCAAGTTAATTTAAAATATGCAGATGGTAAATAAGTATAAAACATAAATAAAATAAAATCTTAAAATATATATAAAACAAAATTATAAATAAAGTACTACATTTGTATAAAGTGTAAATAAACTACTTTTACAGACTGGTAAATACACCTACATGTTTGTTTAGTAATGTTAAAATTGTCCTTTATGCTCTGGGCCTGAGAACTGTCAAAGCAGTTACTGTACAGCTGACCCTTGAACAACATGGGGATTGGAGGATCCATCTCCCACACAGCTGAAAATCTGCATAAAACTTTTGACTCCCCAAAACTTAACTACTAGTAGTCTTCTGTTGACTGGAAGAAGCTTTACTGATAACATAAAGTCAGTTAACACAGGTTTTGTATGTTATATGTATTATATACTGTATTATTAAAATTAAGTTAGCTAGAGAAAAGAAAATGTTCTTTTAAGTTGTCCTAATCTCCAAAAAAAATTTCCTATCTATTTATTGAAAAATATCTGTGTATAAATAGACCTGTATATTTCAAACCTGTGTTGTTCAAGGGTCAACTGTATTTTAAGTGTTCTTTTTCCACCATGATCTTACAGAATATTGATTCTGGTCTCTTTTTCTAAGATGCTTATTAATTTTCTTACTGAAAGCAAGTAAACATTTGAGGCAATGTTTTGGTATACTGACTGCTCAAGGAAGGGTTCTGGTGAATGTGAATTTATAAGACTCTTTCCTCTTTTTTCTGTTCCTCAACCCATGCCAAGTGAGATTTATCTCTAGCCCCTTATGAACCTGCCTTTGATAGAGTCTCCGAAAGAGGCTGCTAGGTCAGTCTTCTCCAGTGGTTCTTCTGTCCTGTTGTAGATGTTGCTAACATGGTGTGAATGGCTCTGATGCTTCAGTACTGAGATGGCTCCTTCAGTACTGAGAGCTGTGGGCAGGTATCACAGAACCTTGAAAGGGAACCCAAGGATTCAGCAGACTTTGCTATCCTTAGGCTTCATTGTATGTATGTCATCATATACACTTACTATTTTAACCTATTATTTTTGAAGTCATATGGTATGTAGCAGATCTGTATGAACTATTTACCTCATCAGTTTCTAGCCTGTCTTCATTAATACAGTAAATTTGACACTTCTAAGAAAACACTGTTTTGGATAATTCATAATAAAATTTTGGTCATAGCTTTCCATTCCTTATTTGTCATGCCAGTTATCATACTAAGCCTTGGCTTAGATTTTTAGTGAGAGAACCTAATTTGTTCTATCCTACCTGGATCTTCCGTATTCAATGCCTAGATTGCCCTGCTCTTAAGAATTACCAGTGTGTCCATAAGTCTGTAGAGCCATATCATGAATTAAATTCCATTTCACACTTGATTGTAAGGACTCAAAGAGCACTTACCTTAAAGACAGATCTGGACATGGGCAGGTCTAGGTTCAGACTGATTATAGAAAATTCTTAAAGGTTGAGTGATATCTAACTCCTTCTGGAAAATTTAAATTGTTATAAAAAGAAGTGTAAAGCTTTGGGTTTTTCTTTGAAATCTCTGAAGACACGACCTGGCAAATTTAATACTCCTTGAGACTCTGGAACCAGCTGATTCCCAGAATCAACATGGAGGACCAGAGAACAATTTAGAAATAGACCTTTAGACTCCCTGTTCCATAGAATGGAGTAGGACTAACTGTGCTGTTGTAGCCGCAAAGCTTTGATAATACACCTAAGTTTATCCAACAGCAATAAATTTTAAGCTCCAAGAGTTTTAGTATCATTGTTAATATTTAATAAGTAGAGAAAATTATACTACATTCACAGTAACAATAAAATTTAGTTAAAGAGGTTACCTCTAGAATCTTCATTTTATATATGAGGAAGTTTAATAAGTGATAATACAGCATTGTGAAGTTTAAATATTGCCTTATATGACAGGCTAATGTGCCTAAGTGGAATTTACCTTCATGAGAATCAGATTTGACCAGACTGTCTGATTTCTCTACTTTTCTCCCTTAGGAAAGCCCGTCTTCATCTGGAAACAAACGCTGGGTTTCACAGTGGGCTAGTTTGGCTGCTAATCATACAAGGCATGATCAAGGAGAAAGGATAATGGAATTGTCTATACCTGCTCCTTTAGAGAATGGTATTCCCTTCCTCCCTCCCTTCCCTTTCTTCTTTTCTTTCTTGTATATCAGTATTCTAATATCAGTTTTTAAAAAACAAGCTGCATCTATATAGTGAGAAGTACATTAAACCTAAATAAACCTATTCATACATTCTCATACTTACCTACATATATGATTTCATTTTCACTAATAATGTACCTACTGTTAAAATATAGCCCTAACGAAGGTGAAAAGATAATTTTTAGATGGAGCACATATATATATGAATTTATTTATATGACATGTTTAAATACTCCACATTATCCCACTCATTAATACAAATATTACTTAAACATCACTTTGCTCCATATATTCAGTGAAAAAGAATTAACTTAATATATACTCAGTTTACTTAATGTATCTTTTGCAAATCTAATACATTTATTACCTTTTAATTATATTTATGAATTGAAATAGTTTCTTTTAAAAACCGCAAATGAAATTATATGCTGCTAATGATTTTGTTAGATTCAGTTAATTACATTCTTAATTAAAAATAAGACTCTCAAAGAAAATTTATTTGCAACTTTTTATCTATATTCTTAATTTTGTTGTAATTGGAAATGGAAATGGGAATTTATTTTGTTTCTGGCTTGAGGCACCCCAGAAGTCTGGTTTAGGAAGTTCATAAACATTAGTCAGCAAGTATTTGAGCAATACATATAGCAGTTTACTAGAAAAGGTATATCATTTATTTACCATAGAAATTAGAAGTAATTGATAGTACTACCAAAAATCTTTGGAAAGACAGAGTGATTTGCAGATCAGTTAACATAAACTGGTCACTTGGAAACAAACCAAGTAGAGGGGCCAGGGGCTAGGAGACTTACCACAAATCCATTATATAATTATTAGGTGTTAGATGCAGAAGGCAAAATTCTACTCTTGCTATTTAAAGAGGAATAGACCACTTGGCCTTCATTTTCATCCCTGTTTTATCATATTCTAAATGAATTTAGTTAGATAAGCTGATAGATCCACATAAATCTTAAAATGTTCTTGTTAAAGACTCATCCGTTGATTGTGTGGTTGGATGAAAACCATCTTTGAGGGTTTCTTTTTTCTTTTTTTAGAAAACTTTGTTAAAGTTCTTTTTACTTAGGAAATCCAAGTTTGTCATTCTTTCAGGTAGATACATGATGATAATAGTTATTAAAAACCAGGTATTTTCTTCTATACTATGTAACTGAAAGTGTTTATTAGACATTCTCTATGCAATTCTGTAATACATTTTCTTGAGCTAAACTTTGTGGCTGGATACAAAAGCAAGAATGAACACAGTGAACTTCCCTGCCATAGAATGCATTAAAAGATAAAAAGAGGAAGAGATGTAGGCTTAAAATCAGAAGCCTCAAATTTTCATCTCATACAACTCGCCTTCTCAACTCCCCTATTAGTAATCTGCCTTGCCTTTTAAACCACTGTATCAAAATGCTGGCTTATTCACTCAAAGATTTATACTTAAGCCATTTCTTAACTTACACTTCAGAATCTCATATAACATGATACTCTTTTATTTTTCCTTTTTTGCCCTAATAAACTCCTTCCTGTGGTTTTACTTTATAGATACAGATACCGGTGAGTCTGGTGTTTCAGTGAGAACTACTGGACTAGCCACTTCCATGGTTGGTCAGGTAGAGAGAAGGAGACGAACTCTGCCCCAGCTTCCAAATGAAGAAAAGTCTGTGGAGAGCTCCCGAGCAAAGGCTATAACGCCAAGGTCAGAGATAGGAGAAAAACAAGACACAGAACTTCAGGAGAAAGAAGCACCTGCACAGGTGTATCAAAAAGATAAACAAGATGTGGACAGAGCCCTGAATAAAATGAGCAGGGCAGTAAATGGTGAGACCCTTAAAACTGCTGGAGAGAATAAAGCCCTGCTTCACTTAGGCAGCTCTTCTTCCGGAAGGGAGAAAAGTGAAACTGTTAAGGAAGATTCTTTGGTGAAGCAAACATTAGCTAAAATTCAGCAACAAGAACAAAAGGAGCAAGCACAATGGACCCCTACTAAGTTGTCTTCAAAGACTGTTTCAGGCCAGATAGATAGATGTAGGGAGGAGTCTTTTAAGCAAGAGTCACAACCTCAAGAAAAAATTCCAGGACATTATACAAGCAAAGGAGAAAGGCTGATACAAAACGAGGGCAAGCGAAGGAAAGCCGAGGAAATTCTGAAATGTCAGACTTCAAAGGGGGTTGACAAGAAGGAGTCCTCCAAGCCACTAGTGCGGCAAGGAAGCTTCACTATAGAAAAGCCTAGCCCAAACATACCTATAGAGCTCATTCCCCATATCAACAAACAGACTTCCTCTGTGCCCCCTTCTTTGGCACTGACAGCTACCAGTAGAATACGAGACAGAAGTGACTCTGTGGAGACCGATTCTAGTATGGACACAACTCTCATTCTAAAAGACACAGAAGCAGTAATGGCTTTTCTAGAAGCTAAACTGCGTGAAGATAATAAAACTGATGAAGGCCCAGACACTCCCAGTTACAACAGAGACAACTCTATTTCCCCAGAATCTGATGTCGACACAGCGAGTACAGTCAGTCTGGTCACTGGAGAGACTGAAAGAAAGTCAACCCAGAAGCGGAAGAGTTTCACCAGTCTCTATAAAGATAGGTGTTCCTCAGGTTCTCCTTCCAAAGATGTTACAAAGTCGTCATCTTCTGGTCCTAGGGAGAAAATTGAAAAGAAAACAAAAAGTCGTTCTGCAGATACAGGTTCGAGAGCAGATGGTCGTAAATTTGTACAGTCCAGTGGAAGAATAAGACAGCCTTCAGTAGATGTAACAGATGATGACCAGACCTCGAGTGTACCTCTCTCTGCCATCTCTGATATAATGTCATCTGACCAGGAAACTTACTCTTGTAAATCTCATGGAAGGACTCCACTTACCTCTACTGATGAGCATGCACATTCCAAACTGGAAGGAAGTAAAGTAATGAAATCTAAGACTTCTCCTGTAGCACCAGGTTCATCCAGTAAATCGACCACTCTCCCAAGGCCACGACCTACCAGGACTTCCCTCCTCCGCAGAGCACGACTCGGGGAAGCTTCAGACAGTGAACTAGCAGATGCAGACAAAGCATCGGTTGCTTCTGAAGTGTCCACAACAAGCTCAACATCAAAACCCCCCACCGGAAGGCGCAGCATCTCTAGGATTGACCTCCTGGCTCAGCCTCGGAGAACAAGGCTTGGCTCGCTGTCAGCTCGCAGTGACTCGGAAGCAACAATCTCCAGAAGTAGTGCCTCTTCACGGACTGCAGAAGCCATCATTAGAAGTGGAGCCAGATTAGTACCTACAGATAAATTTTCTCCTAGAATTAGAGCCAACAGTATCTCTCGGCTATCAGACTCCAAGGTCAAAAGTATGACCTCAACACACGGCTCTCCGTCAGGTAAATTGGACCCAGACTTTTTGTAATGTTAGAACATTTCTTTTATGGTTTTGGACTCCTCTTTTTTTAAAATTAAATGTCTAATGTTGCTTCCCAAAATATTCAACAGACAGGTTATGCTATAGAGAGTTTTTTCCCTATAAAAATTATTTTACTTAGCTTAGAGAAAAGAAAATTCAGAAATTAGACACACTTCCAGTGAATGTCCTGGAGCAAAATAGTGATCTCAGAGTTAGAAGTATGGTAAACTAGTTTCTGAATTTTAATTGTGTAGTTGGTAAGATATCTGGATTTGTCAAAATTCGATTAGGAATTATCTGGTACAAATAGTAGAAATGAGCATTGTGCTTCTAAAAGTGTATGTTTAATTTTTAAATATCCTCACATAATTCAAAGCTCTCATGAACCTGAAGAAAAGCAGTAATGCCTTTATTACCCCTTTCAGAACTAAGTGAAATAATTGATATTTTACCCTTTTTTCCTATTTTTAAATGTCTCATATAATTTTTAAAGTTAAATCTATGGTTGGGGCACATGAAAACTAACTCTTAATTTATTTCAGTGGAAGAAGATGGATTCATGAGACAATCACAAAGTACATATGGGTCAAGCTGGGTTACAGAAATTTAACTTACGAGCATTGTCTCATGAAGTGCTGTTATGTCATTTCATAGTAATTAGCTGTCATTGAATGTAATAATTTCAAAAGCGACTTAACTACCCTCCAGAAATTAACTACTTCTGATGTATTTGTCAGTTTATATACTTCATATTCAGAGCTGTAGCCAGTGAGAATACATATGTGACCAAGCTTACTGAGACAAGATGCCTGTGTGCAGCCTGAAAACCTGGTCTCATTAGTTCCTAATCATCCCCACGTGTGGGTCTAACTGAAAAGACCAGTTGGTGGGAAACCAGCATTAAGGACTTGAAGGTTTATCCTTGTCAGGCACCTAAGGACGCCCTAAGTGTTGAGTGAAGAGTGAAGGGAAAGTTGGTGTACAAACTTACCTTGTTTGTCATCTACCACAGTACAGCCTACAAGACCCCAAAGGAGTGGCACTTTGTATTCATTATCTTTCCCTTTCAAGTCGTCCCCTGCCCCTTTTGCATTTCCCTCTCTGTCCTGGTCAATGGCTGTGGTAATGATGGTCACATCTGTGGTAGGAATGGATGTAGGCTGAATGTAGGTAACACATAATCATGATTACAAAGAATAGGTGGCATTTTCCTGCTAACCCTCATCCTCATTTCTACCCTTCCAGCATTGGTTGGTGGTTTGTGGATATATTGCCAAGTATTTAAAACTAACTACTGTGTTTGATTTATGTCTACCCAGTGTTACTCTGTTGTACCTTATGGCTCTACCTCTTCAGCTCACATTTCTTTTGTGCTGCTTTCTCTGGTGTGTACCCTGAGAAATTTTCTTCTGCTTATTTTGTCATCTCATCTCTATTAAGTACATAAAAATGTCTTAAGTATTTTCCTGTCTTAGAAGCTGCACAACAGGTATATATACCAGGTGGCATGGAACAATTCCTCCTGTACTGCTTGCCTAGCTTTTAACACATGAATGATCTGGTTTTATTCCTGAGTGTTTAACATGAAGAGCTTATTTGAGGTGGAAGCCAGGTATGATTACTTCAGCAAGTCTAAGAAACAACTATAAGGTGCCATATATATGCCTTTAAAAATTAATTTTGTTTACAGCCTCTTTGAATACTTGATAAACAAGAACTTGATAAACATGCAGTTTTTTATGTCCAAAAAGTACCTTGAATTGCTGAATAAAATTCCTTAGGGTAAATTGAGGTACATGATTTTGGCCTTCTTCAAACTTAATAGTATTATATTAAATAATTAGAATCATGAAATTCAAAAGCTAGAAGTGTTATATTCAGTTTAGGGAACTAAGGCCAAGAGATGAAATAACCTGCCCCAATCACATGGCTATGGCAGGGGTGCAATAAGAACCCAAGGCTGTTCATTCCTAGCCTGTCGTTGTCTCTACTCAATCTAGGCTAGCTTTGGGAAATAGTCTCTGTGTACTTGTTTGAAAACTTGTAGAGGCCAGATAGAATCTTTTAGATTATTATCAGTAGTATATACAAATCCAGTGTACAATACAAAGGTTTTGGTATTGTTCACTACAATCTTTGTAATTCTGTTATTTTACCAAGTTCATGTTCTCTTTTCCACTTTATGTGCATAAAGTCATATGTGATCTGGGATTGTACTCTCAGATTTTCTCAAGATGCCCATTTACAGTACCGTACTTTATCTAGAAGAACAATTGCCAGGATCTTTTTACTCAGTGTTTGTAACATACTAAAATAATTACATGGGGTAGGTAGTAACAAAAGAAAACACAAAAACAAACATACCTTTCCAGCTTTGCTAATTGAGCTATCTTTGCTATTATGACATTTCTAGTTAAGATAATTATAATCTCTTGAATGGAAAAAGAAAATAAAATTCCTTAGCTTTTGAAATGATTTAAAAGAACATGAAACCGTACTGGCTGTGTACATTGTATACTATAAAGTACTTAGAAATGTCTGAACCTGAAGCCTTGATGTTTCCCAATTGGCATATATAAATATAATTCTATAATCTTTCAAATTCTCTATTTTAGGCTATATAAAAAAAGTTTTTTAAAGAAATTTATATGATAAAAATAGGAGAATAGAAATCTCTGATTTAGAAAAATTAAGAGTTAGGGTTCTTTTGTGCTTCTTTAATTCTGATGTAATTTGCCTTTAGGACTTTAGTCCCCTGCCAGACTTCCTTCAGTGATCCTTCAATATCAAGTTATATTAAAATATCCAGATATATTTTGATAAGATACATTAAAACTAAGGATCCTGAATTATCAAAGCAGTTGGTTTTCATTATGTTTTAAGTACACATTCTAGAAAATAAAAGCATGATGTTAATATCTTTACAGTTTCTATTTGATTGTTTTTTTTCCCATATCTAATCTGACCCTCAAAATTTATACATGGATGTTAGGTGTGCATGGCTTGACTTAATTCTTCCTGCAGGTCAAGCCCCAGTACAGAATGTTGTCAGGGATTTTTTTTTCCCCCAAATGATCTTATGTGGTACTTGCTCACAAGTATACATGTAAACTGTGCTTGTGGTTTAATTTCCCACAAAAATACTCCTGATATAAGTGCACAGCTGCAGTGTTTGTTTTCTGAGATGTATTTGTTACATCTGTAGATGTGGATGTGTTTTAATGACAACAAATTTTGCTTAATGATAAAAGAAATCAGAGCATTCACAGATAAATGGTCCTGATAACTTTTCTCCTTTTTTAATTTGTTAGACATCATGGATAGTGTATTTTTATAGTGAACATAATTTAACAAAGACGGAGTGTTGCATAATTTCATAACATAAATTTTATAGTTAATGTAATTAAATTAATTTTCAGGTTAGCTACAAAATTAAGCCCATCTTAGAACTTTGTCTCATTTTATTATATGTGCTACCTAGCACTTTACAAGCCAAGATGCCTCTTAGAGATCGGTATGTCAAATACCTTAAATACAAAATTTCAATATAATGGCTTACATGAAGTTCCTTACTAGTACCAGTATATCAAATAAGCCTAATGATATAAAAGTAAACTTAATTCTGTTAAGCAGAATAAAGACCAAGAGAAAGAAGTAAAATTTTTCTTCATCACAGGTAGAAATCATAAATCATTCTGTCAGAAGTTCAGAATGCCTTTTTAAAAAATTTAGTCTCACTGGACATGTAAAAACCAAAAATAAACATTTTCTGACATGTAATTGTAAAATACTTGGAATAGCAAGGAATGAGTTTTGAGATCTGGCAATCAGTAGAACTGGCTTAAACTTTGATTTAAGCAAGACAGGACCTTTCTGGGCTTGTTTCCTCTCTCTGAATTGAGGAATTTAGACTATCTAATGACTAAGATCATTCTATTATAAAAGTCTGTGAAATAAGTTAGCATTGGGAAGTTAAAAACATATCCTCTGCAATAACTAGCAGATTGTAGGGATTTTCTTCGGTTAACATATATAACCACTATAGTTTGGAAGCAAAAATCAAGAAAGCAAAAGGTATTCAAAGAATTTCTTTGAGAAATAGCCAGTCAAAGGTCTTGGCATTAAACTCCCTTACCCAGTCCCATCTCCTTCGAAGGCCCTCAATTCACTCATTTGTCCACGCTGGTGTTAACACAAGCTAAGTGGTGTCCACAGGAACACTGTGTGTGTGTTTTCCACTAATAAAAGTAACCCTTAATTACTTGAAGATTTATTAATCATATTTTCATGCCTCTGTTGTCCCCTACTTATTTTATCTCTTATTTTACCCTCAATTTTAAGAGAACAGACCTAAAAATGTTACCTTGAGGTTTTTTAAATATGTTCTGTTGCTTTTCTTTTTAAAAGTAATATTAGATAATTCACTATTCTTACTGGCTTCTAGATCGACCTATAAAAATATGTGGAAAGTTTATGAATTTTGTCTGGAAAGGTTTTTCTTTTTTCTCCAAACTGTGATTATTTTCTGATCTTGAGACTTAGACTAAGAAGAGCTAATTCTAATGTGATTCTGCTTATACATTGTCACCTGGCATTTAGAACTTGGTTCTTAGTTTCTCACTCTGCTGTCACGGGTTCTGCCACTCATGGAATAATACATTAGCCTTGATGCCATTCTTTCTAACTTACCTCTAAATTTACTACTTTAGTTCTATTATACTTGCTTATGTTTTCACATTTTCTGAAGTTTATTAAAACTCTTTGTTATTGGTTTTGTTTTCTCTCCAATTTTCAGTTATATGTATGGTTACCACAGTTTCCAAATCAAAATTCAGGAAATTTAAGTAACAGTATTTTTCTTATTTATGAATTTACTTTTATGAATAATATTCTAAAGTAGCAAAATAAACAAGACAGTGTTTAATGAAATGCCTTTATTGGAAAGTACAGACTGGTTTGCCGTATTTCCAATCAGTTTACCATGTTTCTAATTTTTTTTCTAAAACCTCTTTGTTCTTATTCCTAAACTTTTCCTAAAATTATTTTCAAGTCTCAGGGACAGTTCAGTTCGTAAGAGTTTTCAAATTTCTAGAAATGAGTAAATTTCCACCATGGTAAACATATTTATGTTAATGAATTATAAAATTAGAAATTAAAAGTATTAACCCTTCAAAAAAATCTATGGTAAATTACCTAGAAATCTGCCTATATGTTTGCATACACTTTTACAGAAAGCTATGAAGTTTCTGCATATATTCATTTTTTCATACACATGAATCTAGTTCCAAGCTCTCTGAGCTTCATACAAGATTATGAATCAGGACAGATAGGTAGGCTCTGATGTGTGGCATATTCCTGATTATAAATTTTCTGTTTCTTAAACCAACTCTTGGGGCAGTTTTATCCTAGAGCCAACTCAACCTTATAGAGCCCCAGGCAAAAATGTAGTTTGGGGAGAAAAAGACAGGAGAGGTATAAAATTCTAGTGGAATAGGATGAAGGAATTCTAGATTTTACCAGCCTACACAGCCTAGGGTCAGTGTCTGTTTTAAAAAAGATAAGAGAAAGATAAAGAAAACTATTCTAATATTAACAGTGATTTTGGAATTTACAGCAGGTGCTAAAGTTTTGTCACTTTGGTGACCAAAAATATCTCATGCTTTTTGCTTGGTTTTTCTTAATTTGAGAAGAGCAAATGGTCAGTATCTAGAAATTCATTCACTTACTCGAAAACATTTGCTAGCCAGACACTCTGCCAAGTGCCTACATATACATTAGTGGACTAAACAGGCATGGTTGCTGCCCTTGTGAAATTTACCATGAATTAGCCATTATCTCCCTGTTTTTTACCTCTGTGCTTCATATTATTTGCATGATTGATTCTCATTTTAACAGTAGTTAGTAATGGAGTTAATTGGTCTTCTGATTTTTCAAGTGTCAGCAATACCATTTTCTAAGTGTCTTCACTAACCCTAAATTGTAAAGTGATTGCCATTTTCTTTAATGTGACTCTTCAGTTATCTCCTGTGCCTTAAATGGCAGTGGTGGTGAGAACAGCTTGTGGAGTTTGCCATTGTCTGTTTTCATCATATGCTTTCAGTGTCAAAGTACCAGAGAGTTGTACTGAAGATGCTTTGTTGTGTCTTTACCATGTAAAAAGACTTTTTCCAATCATAGCATAACAGGATGTTGAATGACAGAGGTAATGTTTTTTTTCTGCCATAAAGGCATAATTTCCACAGCAGGAATTATGCACATCTGTCTGTTGGGAAGAGGGTTTTTAACCATCTCTGTGTTGAAAGTCCATGTGGCATGAGGAAATCTTTTCCCTTATTTTCATTTTTGTTGTTGTTACTGTCATTTTTAAAAAATTCCATGTCTTCACTCAAATGAGAAATACTTGCATTAAAAAGTACCTGAGTTAAATATTTACAAATAGAGCTTGCTTAGTTGTTTATCATTAGTGAATTTTTCATTTGAATGTTTATTCACCATACTATGGAAAACACAGTCTTGTGATTGTTTTTAATTATTCATTGTTTCTAATTCACCAAAGTGTAGTGTTTCTAGCTTTAAGGAGTGTTAGACTTATGTTTTTTGTGAGGTATGTGTATGTCAGTTACTGAAAACTGTGCTGTGTGTGTCTCATGGGTGTTTTTGAAATCATGACTTTTTACCGCCTTTAAAAGTTAACATAATAATTCTTTTTTCAATAATTAAACTAATTTAGTAAATTCAAGATGGAGGCGCTTTCCTACTGATTATGCTTCCACCTCAGAAGATGAATTTGGATCAAACCGTAATTCCCCTAAACATACTCGTCTACGTACTTCTCCAGCCCTGAAAACAACTCGGCTGCAGAGCTCTGGGTCAGCAATGCCTACTAGTTCTTCATTCAAGCACCGGATAAAAGAACAGGAAGACTATATCCGAGATTGGACTGCTCATCGAGAAGAGATAGCCAGGTTGGTTTTAATGGATCGTCTTTGAGAATTGAAGTTTTTCCTTAACAGTGTAACATGCACATAGTTTAGTTTTTACTTAAGTCCAAGAAATGAAAGTCACATATTATGAACTTAGTTTTGTTGGTAGTGTTACTCTCTATCTGTTTTGTTCTGTTTTTACTGCTAGTAATACTAACTTGAAGTATACTGAATCCTATATTGAAGTATTTATTTTGGTTACACCCCACTTTCTTATTTCTAGTTGGCAAGTTAATATAACTTTGGAAAGGTGTATCAGCTCTACATAATTAAGAATCATGTGGCTAAATGTTCTATTACTTTTACTTTCCAAAGAGGTGATAGTGTACTTGTTAGAGTAGGTTGCTAATGTTGTCTGGGGGAGAATTAGAGTAGGCAGACTTTTACTCATACTTGGGAGTTCATTAAGTACAGTTAGCTCACCCTTTAATAATTAGATCAAAGTATGATTACTTTGAATATTAAATATAACCTTTAGATTATATAATAAGTAAAATACATGCTGCAGATGTGATTTTTAGTTGATAACATACTGTGGTTGAACACTGAAGAAAGGCTATACTCAAACATGCTATTGTAGTTAAAATACGAGGTTTTGTTTGTAAGATACTTTTATTGTGGTATACCATATGTTACTTAAACATTTTCTTCATATACATGCTAAAATTATTTCTGCCTTCATTTTAATACCCTAACGTTCAAGTTTTACACTGGGCAACATAACGAAAAAACTTACATATAGCAGTCCATAAATGCTTTTAAAAAAACTATGAACTTTTATCATAGCTTAATGTTGTTTTACTTTTTTGTTGTTGTTGACATCTGTGAATTGCTTTTTTTTCCTAGCTCATTAGTTTATAAGGTAATGTTTAGGGGGTTTTTTTTGTCTTTAATGACTATCTACTTGTAATTGCTTTTAATTGCTTGTAATTCTTTAGAGAACATGCCCTTCTAATCTCGTGCTGCTTAAACATTTTTGTTTCACCATGTGAATAGTTTGTGGTGAGAATAATTGTCAGAACATTATAGGCCAGGTCCTGTTAGAGGAAGGGTTTATGTGTGCTTTGGAATCCATGAGTGACTATGTGCCCACAAATTGCCATACATTCTGTTCTGCGGGCACAGCTCTTGCCTCATCATTGCCCCCTTCTCTTGGAGGTGTCCGCCTGCTGGAGCTAGTCTGTATATCTGCTCCCTCTTGGGGACTCCCTCTCAAGCTCTCTGCTCCAGACTGGGACGAGTAGACACCTTTTGGACCAAACCCACTTCCTTGCCCCCAAACAAAAAGGAGTTAAAATCCAAAGGAGAAAGTAAATAGGAACTGTGTTTTCTGTTTTCACTTGGCTCCATTTTATTATGTGCATTTGATACTGTCTATGGGCATTTTATTATTGTCAACACCAGGACTCTTAAGGCCAGATGATTTTATGTCTTTTCCCCTAGCTTGTCAGGAGCACTGTGCTAATAAAACTTGCCTTTGGGATTTTAATCTTTAAAGGTATATTTCTCAGCTATATACCTCAAAAGCCAGATAATTTTTTTGTTTTGTTTTTTTTAATTTTTAAATTTCTAAAAATTTTTTTTTTAATTTTAAAGTTCAAATTTTTTGGTTTTGTTTTTTAAAAAAGGACAGATGGAAGGAAAAAATGTTAATGTTGATATTTGGTGTTGCTATGGCACACTGATAAGTTTGTTTACCACAAGAAAACTTATTTTCAAATAACTATGAATCATGAGCTAAATAGAATGTGAGAAATAGTTTCATGTCTTTAAACGAGTTCCTGCTGTCTGAAAACTCACAGGCCAAGAGCAAAACCTACCGAATAGTAATAAGTAAAGACCCTTTATTTGAAAAGCATGATAGTGATTTTAATTTATTACAAAAGGGTTTTGCTTTGATCTACTCTTGTTTAAAGTTTAGGACTATGTCACTTAACCAGCACATTGTAAATCTGTCCATAGTAATTATGTGCATTTAAACTTAAAGCACAAAACCAAGGTGCATTCAGGATATAAACAGTAGAAGCAAAATATAGTATGTTTGGTCTCTCAATATGATGAGGAAACTTTTTTCCCATGGTTGTCTTTGATACATGTACATATTGTAGTTCCTGCCTCAGTTTCTCTATTAACAATACAGATACAGATTTCTTTTCAGTAGGAATTTGATAGATTATAGGTTTTATGACTTTTAGGATAAGCAAAGCTATGATAACCACCTTTCCAAATGACTAAGTAAAATACATTTGGCCTAAAATTATGCCAGAAGATTATATAATTTCCATTTGAATCAGAAGGTATTTAAAGATAGTTGAATGTTTTAGATTCATCACTGCACATAACACTGTAAAATTAAAAGTTTTTTAGGAGAAAGTTCTAGTTAACAATATTTAATTTCAAGGCTTAACAACCAGTTCCTTATAAGATGTGTTGCACAAGAGGGTGAAATGGTAAAGGCAATGTCATATTCCACCCTAATGTTGATTGAGGGTATTATTTGCAAAGGTGGTATATCCTATAACAGTTCTGTTTTGGATCATATTTATATAACTTCTTCACATATATTGTGAATATATATATAGTCCCCATCCACTCAAAGAATTCTTAAGCAACTCCCACACATATAACATTGTGTTTAGGTTGGGTGGACTGTGAAAATGACTTAGATGTGGGTGTCCTTAGAGTTTGGAATAGAAGGGAGGAAGTAAAGCAAAGGTGTGGTAACTGATAGAAGGCAGAGTGATACGGAGGTTTGAAAAAGTGTGAGGTTTCACTCAAGTATGAGATGTGAAGGTGTATTGTTAATGGATGACCAAACTGAAGTCGTGCGAAACCAGCTAAGTAACAGGGGACTTCAGGTGTCAGCTCTGAGTGTGCATATTACTTAACGTGCTTTGAAACTTTGAAGAGTTTTGAACAGGAAGGTCACTTCTGATCTGTATTAAAGGAACCTAACTGAAGGCATTGCATAGAATTGTTTGAGACAAGAGCCTAGAGACAGGATGGGGATCAATTTGGAAAGTTAATGTGCCAGGTGTAGATGAGCTGAGACAAGACAGTATTAGTGAGGGGACACAAGAAGGAAGGAACAAGAGACACGGACATGTAACAATCAACAGTATTTGATGGTAGCCAGAAAGGTAAGCAGAATTTAGATTCAGTCTGTGTTGTTCAAATGGAATATTGGAAATAGTGAGGAGCATAAAAGGCAGGGGGGAAAAGGGGGACTTCTGTTTTAGGTGTCCTGACATTAAGGTACTTATGGGACAGACATGTGGAAAAGTCTGGCAGGCAGAACTATGGCTCTGAAACAGAGGAAGCTATTGAAAGTCAGATTGAGGTTAATGAAGTACAGAGAGTGGTGGTAATAGATGGTATTACCAGGAAATGGTAAATGAGCTGAGGATTCTGCTGAACTCTGAGGCATCACCTAAATTATAAGGACGCAGCAGAGCTGCATGGTCAAGAGCATGGCTCTGGAATCAGACCTTCTAGATCCAAACCCAGTTCTGCTGCCAGGTCTGTGTAACCCTGCACAAGGTTAATAACTTTTAGTGATCTCAAGAAAAATGGACAGAGCAGTAGTGCCAACTAGAGGCAGTTGACAGATTGATGCATATATGATTATATTTAGAACTTTGTTGTGAGCTTTCAGTTTTCTATCTCATAATTTAAATTTATGAGACCCCAGGTTTAAGTGGAGTTTCAGAATTAACATTAAATTCCTGTAATTTGTAAAATAATCTCTTAGGCTTATCCTATTCATACCTAAGAATCTCAACCAAGTTTTGTTCAAATTGTCAGTCCAAACACAATTATTTTGAAATGTTCTTTTGTTCTGCAATAATAATAGTGATAAATAAGTGGTCTCTGCTTTTTCAAATATTGGAATGATTGTTAAAACAAATGTGTCACAGAACACCCACCAGTGTTATTCCATGATTTAATTGACCCCAAGGTAAAATCATCTGACATTTCAAGATGAGAGGAAAAAGGCTTTTATTGTTATTAAATCTTTTACACATAAGACTATTATTAGTGAACTTCAAGTGAAAAAAACACTAATCAAACATATTTAAAAATATAACTGTTGTTTACATTTTTTAAGCCTAGAGTATTTGCAATTAGAATTATTACTTTGATAAATTACAGTAAAAAACTAAATTACTGTAATTTTAATACATTACTAAAAGCCCTGTGCTTGTTTTTTTTGTTTTTGGTAAGAGCCAGTTTAGTTGAGTGGCCAGAATGAAGTGGTGTGCGTTTCCTTAGAGTCTGTAATGTAATAAAACATATTTATACATACACTGTAATCTATTTCAGCAAAAAAAAGTCTTCCAAATGCATTATTGTTATAGGATATACTGCATTTGCAGGAGTGGGTGGATGTGAGCTTTGATAATACTAAAGTATTTTTCATTTTGGAGAAAAAAACTGAGAGATAAAAATTACTTTATCAGGAAATCTGCTGAGTGACTTTTAAGACCTGATTTACTGGTTCAAAATAACTAACATCTAGGTTCAACCTGTTTCTGTTATTCTTTTGGGTTAGGCCAGATCCGTATAGCAGGAGTTGGAATAAAACATCTGCTCACAAAGTTCAAATGGCCATTCTTCTTCCATTTCTGTATAGTTTTTTACCATTTCCTAGAACTTTACTCTGCCTTCATCATATCTTCCAGCCTGGTCTATACTACCTCTCTGCATGTACTTGCCTGTCTCAAATCTTGCTCATTGAATAAAGACAGTACTCTCCTGTTAGGTGACTTCAGGCCGTCTTCTTTTAACTTGCAGATTTTGTGTCTGGTGGAAATGGCACGGTTTTTGGTTTTTCTCATTCATTTAGGAAATGTTTATTGATGACCAACAGTATGCTATAAGACCTTCAAAGTTATCTTCTTACCTTTACCTCTTGATTTGTGAATTGCTCAATTTATTTGAAGCATTTCATAAGTCTAGTTTTAAGACTTTCTGAGTTTTGCCAAATATAGCATGTCTGTGGTGCTAAGCTAGCATTCAACGTGGTGCCACTGACAATAATGGGAGATATCTTTTTTTTTTTTTTATTAAATCTGTACCTCTTTTGATTTCTGGGAATAGACTCTATTTATTCCTGTCTGTGGACCACTAATTAAATTTCTCTGGCTACCCACGAGAAGCCTCCAGTTTCAACTCATTGCTCTCACACCCTAAACCACTCTTTTGTGGCTCAGATTACTATTTCTCCCAATCCTCCATGCTTTCACTGAATGTTCCCTAAGGTTTGGCAATATTACATCAAAATACCACCAACATAAATAAATGTAACTGACAGTTTTAAACAAAAGAGAAAGTTCTTTCCTTATCAGTAGAAAACTTTTCTGTGAACTGTCCCTATAGTCTATACACAGATCAAATATATGTGTTAATCTTTAAGCCTCTTGAGACCTGGACTTTTTCTGATTCTTTATGTAGTGTCAGACTCAGTGTAAGCTTTTCTTGGAATTGACTCCCAAGTGTCTCTCCTTCTTAAACAATCTTTTTAGTTACTTTATCACTAATTATTTTAGCACTCTTTGTCATTTAAAAATTAGACTAAATTATTTCTTAAAAGTTAAGTAATTAGAATTATAGTTACAAGCTCTTATTCAAAGTTAGCAGGAGGTAGATTTGTGTCATTAGCTTCAGTGTTGGGATTCTAAGCTAGTACACTTCATTCATAGCTCCGCAGTTCCTTTTTTCCAGTAATGTTGAAGGTAAACTCATTCTAATGGTTTCTATGTATGTCCTTTGGAAGCTTACATATAAAAACTTCTGAAACTTAATATGTTTTTAAAATATAAAGCAGATTTTATCCTTTATTGTTTTATTAATTTAAAACCTAAAACAGTGTTTATGTTGGTAGTCTAAATAATTTAGTCTGGTAATGTGTTTCAGTTATGGCTGTTAGATTACACTTGCAAATACAGCATGTTTAAAAGGACATGTATTTCATAAGAGCTCTAATTTTCAATATTTTTTAAACTTCTGGTTTACCCAAAGCCTATCATTAATGTATTTTTCCCCCATATTCTACCCTTCAGCAAAAAACAACTTTTAGTTGATTTAATTAAGAGTGATAACACTGAGGTAGTTTACATAAGAAAATCAAAAACTAAATAAAGTATGTCCTCTGTGCTGTCCCGTCTTCTTACAAATAATGCATGTTTATTTCTACAAAATTTTTGAAATTGGATCATTGATTCTCCTACTCAGAAAGAAAGAAAATTAACACTGATGTCATAGAACCTAACCCTTAATCTGTATTTTCTTCATTTGGGTCTGTTGTCCTACCATATTTTGTATCAATATGAAATTAAATATGAAAATTAGTTACTAGTTTTCAAATTGGAAACTTGAGGTTTTATTGGTGTTGCATAAGAAGGATGGCTTGCAAAACTCCAGATAAAATATTGCATCATTTTTGAAGTTCTTCCTCTAGTAGATTTGATAGGAGTGGAGAGTAAGACTAAAATGAGGATTACAGACTTGGAATTTAAGAGATATAAAGATATAAAGAAATAACATTATCATAAAATATTCCAGGAAGTGTAATCTAGAAGCATGATGGAATTTAATTAGGAAGCTTAGATTTAACAACTGTATGAATAGATCCATACTATATATTGAATCAATAATAAATCTTCCATTTCTACTTCAAGATACTCACAACTTTGTGCTTTCTTTCTTGATAATTTATCATTTTTAAATTCCTAAATCTGGTTTTAGTAGGAGCTAAGATTTTTTAAGCATTGTCGATATAAATTAATTCATTGGTCTATATTATTAAGTCAGCTTTAAGGTGGACTTGCCATGCTGAGAAACGGCTGGCATATACATCACATACTTGAAAATTTAAAAACTTCTTGTTGGATATTTACTGACTTAACAATGTATGTTATCTATACATTAAGAGTTCCTTAATTAAGAGTAGCACAATTTTTACCACATGTTGAGATTGCTATTGTCTATGTTTTTTCTAATTCCCACTGCTTTCTATAAATATTAGAAGTTTCATTGTACAAATGTCTGCATAAAAGTATTTACAAGGAAAAATAGATTTTGGGATAAGCCAATGCTTGTCTATGTTTTACCTCATTGAGTTGGTTATTCTGCTTCTTATCCTAGTGCATTTATTTCAAGACTGCAAGAATTTAACATATTGTGTAGGGGAACACTTTAAACCTCTTCTCAAAAGAATTGTATCATCAGTTAATAAGTTTTTAAAAATTATATATGGAATGATAATGTGAAATAAAGCATGACATAATAAAAAGACCTAGTTATAGCACTTACTTTTTGTGATCCCAGCCAATACGCAGTCATAGAATTTCTCCTAATCCTCACTTTGCTCATCTGTGTGACATGATTAACCATTCTCTCCTCCCAGGTGGTTGTGAGAATTAAGTGACTTGTTGAATATAAAGCTTCTGTATAATGATGCTTATTATATTATAATGATGCTTATTACATTTAAGCTTATGAGGAAAGGGACTCTACTTCTTCACTATCTACTTCTTCACGGGGCTATCACAGTGCTTGGCACATAACAAGAGATCAGTAAATATTGACTGGTGTTCTTTCTACCTTTTTGTATTGGTAAATAAAAGAAGAATTGACCACAGATTGCTACTATTGGTCCATAAGTTTCAATTTAGCTTCTCTTTTTAAATCTGTAGTTAAACTTTTGTGCAATTTACACATTCCCTGAAGTCTTTCAGGCTCACATTTTGTGTAAGAGAGCTGCTTGCTACTTGCTTTGAATTCTGAGTTGCAGAAAGCTCTCAACATGTACTCTTAAGAACATCCTGTTGAGAAGAACAGGAATATCATTGGTAGATATTATAAATTTCTCCTTCTTAAAAAAATAACAGTAAAGGAAAAAAGTCAGTTTTCCCCTTTGATTAGCACTAATAACAGTAATTTAGTTCTTCAGTCCATGTGGCTGAAACACAAATGAATGTCATTATGGCAGTGAGTTCTGCGCCTGGATCTGCAGCCAGTGTGGCCATGAGCAGACCACTCACCTCTGAATGTCCTTATTCATATCAGAGAAGTACCACCTCCCAAGAACACTGACTCTCAGGTGGCTTAATGTGTGCTGTGAAGTGCTGTGTTGGTGTTCCTAACCTCTTGGTACCACACACCCCTTTTGGCCGTCTGGGGAAGCTTCTTGAGCTCTTCTCAGAATGTTTCTAAAGGCATAAATATAAAAAGTTAACGTTTCAGAGAAATGCAGTTATATTGCAATACAGCTATCAAAATATTTTAAAAGTGATACGGTAATATATGGCTCTTTGTTACATACTAAATAGAACATTACTGCTGTGGGTTTAATGACTGCTGTGGTTTTGAAGTAGTGATGACTGTAAATGTTTAGAGATGCCTATAGCAGCAGAGTGTGATTCTGTTGGTGACAAAAATCACCAGTATTGCTATTACCAGTATTGTTTGTTGCTTGTATTTATAATGGAAAAAAAAGTGCTAAGTTTCTGCTAGAGATTAGTTAAAATAAAGTTGTAATTGCTTTTTCTCATCCAAGTGTATAGACTCCTAGAAATCTGCCCACTCTGCCCACCAGCCCCAAGTTTAAGAACTCCAGTGATAGGTTAAAGCTGGTCACCAACATGAACAATGTATCTTAAAAGCATACCAGTACCTCAGGGTATTGACAACTTGCAGTTTATGTGAAATTTAGTTCTATTAATTTTTGGAGTTCAATATTTTCAATATCCAAACAGTTAATAGCATTTCCAAAGACTCTTAAGTTTGGGGTACAAGTCTTTAATTAGATATACAACTTACATAACTGATTCTATCCTAATGATTGTTTCTAGTCATGTTACTTTAAAAGGATTAAACTTCTTTTTTAAAATTATTACCAGGATCAGCCAAGATCTTGCTCTCATTGCTCGGGAAATCAACGATGTAGCAGGAGAGATAGATTCAGTGACTTCGTCAGGCACTGCCCCTAGTACCACAGTAAGCACTGCCGCCACCACCCCTGGTTCTGCCATAGACACTAGAGAAGAGGTAGGAGATCTTCATGGAGAAATGCATAAGGTTCTTCCTTTTCTTTATTTCTTTTGCTTTTAGCTTTTTGCTTAGTTTATTTTAGTTACGTCTACCCTTCCTGTTTGCATGAAGCTCTGCATTTTCCAACTTTGCTTTACCCAATTTCCTTCATGTTTTTGTAATAAAACTAGTAAAGGCTAACATTTGTTCTACTATTAACATGAAGCTATAAAATAATTTAAAATAAGCACTTTGCTAATTATTGGTCCATATTTTCACTTTAAAATAAGAGTATAAATGAAATCTCAAAAGCAGATATATTTTGTAAAGTTTACACAGAGCTTGGCTATGAAAATAATCCAGTTAAAAATGTATTTTCATAGCTAGTTAGCTAGGATATCTCTAATAGCAAAGGAAAAAAATCCTACAGTTTTCACTACTTGAAGTAATTCTGTTGATGACTACACACACACACACATATACACAAGGATATTTAGAAATTGAAATGTGTATATACTCACACAGTACACATATATTCACTTTAAAAATATTCTTGTAAATTCTGGAATGTACGTTATTACATGTGGACTGTTGCCCTTCTAAAACCAGGGCCTCCTGCTCTCTAGTCCAGGAGCACTGTTTGCATAATATTACTCTGAAAGATGCCTTTAACATATGATATTAAATTAATGGTGCTCTACCATGTTGGCTCTCTAGATCTGGTACAGAAATATAAGCAAAAGATTGACATTTGAAAGAATGAATCAAAGTTTTATTAGGACAAAGCCACATTCATTTTAATTACTGTTTGACTGCGTGGTGCTGTAATGTCAGAATCAAGTAGTTGGACAGAGACTATATGGGCTGCAGAGCCTGAAATAAAGCAGTGCTCTCAATAGTAACCACAAATAACTAGCCTTTTTGACAGATTTGATTCTGGCAAACTAATAATATTTTCTTCATTTGCTTTTTGTCACTTCCTTTTATGATCTAGTTCTTTAGTGGTCATTTTTTAGTTGGTTTTTTCACCTTCATGTATTGTCTACTTTGGCAAACAATGTTTCATCAATCTGTGTAGAGTTTTGTTACCACATTGGTCAATTGTAAATCTATATAAATCATCCTTATTGGTGAAAAACAAAAGGATCTTCTTGGTGGCAAGACATACACAATTCTTCTGGTACATTTAAAATGGTAAAGACATTATTTTCTCAGCTATCTAAATTTTATCTAATATGATTATACATTCACTCAGACCCAGTAAAATTATTTAGACATTTCATTGAATAGACTTTCATTTTTCCTTTTTATTTCTGAATATTGTACTAGTTTATTCCTTCTTCAGTAAACCTGACTTACTTAATATTATATGTGTAAAATTTGCACTGTAGATGGCAGTATATCATTTTTGCTAGATTATTTCATTCCTGTAGCACTAATAAAAGTGATCTAAGACCAAAATACTCATTTTGTGGATTTAAAATTTTTTTCCTTTTGTAAACTTAATTGGAATTGGCAATTTATATTATCTATGAAGAAATCTGGGATCTGGATTTGGGGAAAAAAGGGAAAATAGGAAACTAAAAGAAATACATTATTTTACACTGGTAGGGCAATGTGAGTAACTCCTTGTCCATCTACATGGCTCAGATTTTTTTTCTATTTACCATCTGTTTTCCAGTTTGGAGAAATATTAAAAAAGAGTCAAATTTAATATAGTTACATATTTTTGATTTTGAAAGTAAAATCTATGTGGATGAACATCTATTTTATAAAATATAGGCACCTTTGAAGTACTTACTTAAAAAACAAAGTAATTGGTTTATTGAAGATGTCATGCTTCTATTACTACCAAAGAATGGGATAACTTCTGTCTAATCATAAAAATTATAATGCCAGTGTCTGTCTTTTCCAAATTATTCTCATAAGGGTTTACTTTTGTCTTCTTAGTTGGTTGATCGTGTTTTTGATGAAAGCCTCAACTTCCGAAAGATCCCTCCATTAATTCATTCTAAAACACCAGAAGGAAACAACTGTCAGTCCAGTGATCCAAGACCTCAACCAGCAGAGCCACCTGACCACTTAACAATTACGAGGCGGAGAACCTGGAGTAGGGATGAGGTAAGTAAACAATAAACCTTAACATAACAGCAAAGGAGGCATGTCCAATTGGAGGGAAAAGGAAGAACTATATACAAATAACTGATATCAAATGAATTAAGTTTTTAAAGAATGAAAGCAAAACCTTAAAACCTTTCTTTAGTAAAAACTATAAGTAAATCTTCCAACATTATAATAGGTAACAATTTCTTAAAAGGCACAAAAAGCTTTGACTTTAAAATAAAAGATTGATAAATTAGAATATACTAAAGGGCTTTTGTGAAATATGCAGCCAACAAAAGATTAATATACAGAATACATAAAGAACTCCTACCAATCAATTTAAATAAAGGCAAAAAAAAACAACAGAAAAATCTGCAAAAGGCATAAGCAGCCTTTCACTGAAAAGAAAATACCTAAGGCCTACAGAATACAAAGAAATGTTCAACCTCATGAGTATTTAGAGAAATACATTTCAAGACTAGAAAGAGACAGTTTTATACTCATTCATTTAGTTGGCAGTAAATTAAAAGGTCTTAAAATGTAAGTGTTGGAAAAGATGTGGATAAATAGGCTTTCTTATAAGTTGCTGGTGGAAGTTTAATTGGTGCAATCGCTTTGGAAAACAGTTATGCATTATTTCCCAAAGCTGATCATAAACATATCACATCATCTAGCCATTTCTTGCTAGTACATGCCCAAAAGAAACCCTTTCCCTTTGACAATGGAAGTCATGCAAAAGGATATTTATAATGCACTGTGGTCAGTAACAAACACTTAGTAACAATCTAACTTTATGTCAACAGAAAAATGAAGGTATAAACTGGTATGTTCATAATTGAACACTTATAAAGTAATGAAAACAAATGAACTAGAGCAATATACCACAGTATGGATGATTTTAATAATATAACATTAAATGAAATAGGTAATTCTGAAAAGATTATATATAATGTGATTCTTTGTCATAAATTTTTAAAAATGAAAATACACACTTAGGACAGAAATAGATCAAACAAGTTATACAAAAAGGAAAGCAAGGCAATGACGAAAGGACTCAGGATATTGTTTACCTTGGGTGGAGGGAACAGGGAGATGGAATGGAGGAAACTGTATGACTAGAGATAGGTTATATCAATCATCTATTTATTCATAACAAACCATAAAGATCTCAGTGTCATAGAGCAATAAGCATTTATTTATCACACACTTGTGGGGTAACTGGCACTGCTCAGCTGGACAGTTAAAAGTTGTAGGTTGGGTCCAGGTTAAATCCATGTGTCTCATATTGTTTGGACCAGTGGACTAGCTCGGGCTTGTTCTTGCCATTGTTTTATCAGAAACATAAGAGAAATCCCCACCATGCAAGCCCATATCAAGTCTTTACTGTCGTCTCTGCTAACATCCCATTGGTGAAAGTGAGTCTCATGGCCAAGGTCAAGGCAAGCATCCTCCTCCCTTGGTAATGGAGACGGTGGAGGAAGTGAATATTTTTGAACAATATTTATTCAATCACATTGGTTATTGTTAGGTCCTGGTCTTTGTTTTGGGTGGTAGATTCTTAAGTCCTTGTTTTATTATTAAAGAGAAAGAAAACAGTGGTCTGTGTTGAACCAATGATGTATGTCACGAATCAAGAATTATGATTAATTCTGTTTACCTGTGGATATATATATATACCTGTGGATCCCTGGATTTAAGGACTAGGAGATGAAATTCAGTATGTAAGAATATGTCTGTTTGCAGTAGTACCAGGTAGAAAAAAATACACCTAATGTAAAAGCATGTAGCTAGCTCCAGAGTTGGCAATTGCAGTATACTAGGTATTTTTAAAACACACTTTCTCTCTCCTGGCCTGATAGTTGATTTGTTGTTCTTGGCCAGGGTCTACTCTCTTATCTTTTCCATATTCATTCTGTTCAGATGTCTAGGAAGATAAATTCTTCTACATGTATTAAAGCTATGTGGGAAAAGTTACATTTTTAAAGAGAATGGAAACTTCTAGATTGTTAGCTATCTCAAGGTTGTCATAAGAAAAAAAAATTTAGTACATTGTGACTCTGAATTGCACTTTATAGGGTAGAAAAGAGAGAGATCCTGTTCTATGTTACCATCTTTCCATTTTTCCTTAGACTACTGTGCTGTTTCTCACTCCTTCCTAATTAATATGTGTCTTCCACTCTTGTCCCTCAAGGCCACAAAATACCATTTTGCTTATTTAGCCTTTCATTGCCTTTAGCTGCTTCTCATATCCAAAGTAACCTTTGTCCCCTTCTAACTTCAAATCCTTGTCATTCTGAAGTTCTAGTTTTCCATGATGCTTTTTTGATGTCACACTCACTGAATGCCCTTACACTGGAATTATTACAGCACCAAATCATGAAATTGAGCACTTACTTACATTATTTCTTATAAAATACTTAATAGTATTTCCTATATATGAGTATTATCATCCCTACTGGTCTTTAAAACTTCCTAATATCCAAGGCCATTTCTTCATTTCCTGGCTTTTCTTGCAGGGTCTAGATACAGTTCGGATATAAGGAGCTGATTTTTGGAACCCACATCTCATCCCAAGTTCAATCCTTTTTCATGTTCTGTGCTAACTGTGCCTTTTATAATTTAGTCCTTGGCAAACTACAGTTTGCAGGCAAAATCAGGCTACTGCTTGTTTTTATAAATAAAGTTTTATTTCAACACAGCTGTTCCTCCTTGTTTGCACATTGTCTACAGCTGCTTTTGCTACAATGAGAAACTTGAGTAGTTGTGACAGAGATCATATGGCCAAAAACCTTCACTGACTTGCCCTTCCAAAAGTTTGCTAACCCCTAGTTTTGCCCTTAAATTTCAACTGTGTGGAACCAACCTCCATCATAAAAACTTACTATTTAGAGTAAATTTTCAAAAATTCTCTCTCCCACTAGACTTTGCTCTGTAAAGCAAGGCTTATATTCTTGGTCTTTATAGTCATATTATTTGATGAAAGAACAGATAAATTTTAGTATCCTAAATTAATTCTCATTTTTCCTTTTATGATCATTTGAGTTGGGCAGGATTATGATAGTAATTGAAGATAGGATAATATGGATTGATTTTGGAAAGCAATGTGACCAAAATAATCTGGAAACTTGACAAGCTATTTAATAAAAAGGAACTCCTTTGTTAATATTTATTTGTTTCTTAATTTAGTTATACATTAATTACATACTTTCTTGATCTTTACTAAAATTAGCATAAATACTACGTGCCCCTAAATATGGCGAGCGATGACTAGTGTTCTTGGTGGTTACACAATACAGTGGTAATATTTTAATGTAGTTTTTTCTTTGCCTGTTTCAGGTCATGGGAGATAATCTGCTGCTGTCGTCTGTCTTTCAGTTCTCTAAGAAGATAAGACAGTCAATAGATAAAACGGCAGGAAAGATCAGGTACTACTCTATTACTCTAACATCCTTGCTGCTGCTGTTAACAGCTGCCTGTTCCACTTTTTGCACACCTGCTGTCACAGCTGGCAGGAGCTGGTGAAGGCAGTGGTGCTCAGTCTTACTGCTGCCAACTCCATGTTCCTTCCTTGTAGGTATAAACAATAACTGTAAACCAGATAGCATGAAGGGAACAAAAAGAGAAACAATTGTCCTGGATAATCAGCCCCCTTATAACTGAGAGTTAACAATTACAATCACTTATATTGGTTTCATCAATAATCAGAAACAGTTTACCCTTTCACAAAACAATAGTGAATGTTTTAAATGATTGGGGCTTCTTTCCTAAGATCTCAAACTTCAGTTCATCCCTCTACAGTAGAGGAGACAGCTTATACACTCCTACAACACTCAACGACTGCTTACCTGCTACTTTGTGTGGTCAGTTGTGAGGCATCAGAAAGGGGCTGCACAAGTAATATGCAGCTAAAAATAATTCAGTGATTGTATTTGGAGACATTATTCCCATGTTAGACTCCTTTTGTGTGTGTGTGTGTGTGTGTGTGCCTCTTTTTTTTTTTTTGGTATAAGTAATCTACATGAGGAACATTATGTTTACTAGACTCCTCCCATCACCAAGTCCCCCCAACAAACCCCATTACATTCACTATCTATCAGTGTAGTAAGATGCTGTAGAATCACTACTTTTCTTCTCTGTGTTGCACAGCCCTCCCCGTGCCCCACCCACACATTTTACATGCTATTCGTAATCCCCCCTTTTTTTTCACCCCCATATCTCTCCCTTCCCACCCATCCTCCCCAGTCCTTTTCACTTGGTAACTGTTAGTCCATTCTTGGGTTCTGTGTTTCTGCTCTTGTTTTGTTCCTTCAGTTTTTTCTTTGTTCTTATACTCCACAGATGAGTGAAATCATTTGGTACTTGTCTTTATCTGCCTGGCTTATTTTACTGAACATAATACCCTCTAGCTCCATCCATGTTGTTGCAAATGGTAGGATTTGTTTTCTTCTTATGGCTGAATAATATTCCATTGTGTGTATGTACCACATCCTCTTTATCCATTCATCTGCTGATGGACACTTAGGTTGCTTTCATTTCTCGGCTATTGTAAATAGTGCTGCGATAAACATAGGGGTGCATATGTCTTTTTCAAACTGGGCTGCTGCATTCTTAGGGTAAATTCCTAGGAGTGGAACTCCTGGGTCAAATGGTATTTCTATTTTAAACATTTTGAGGAATCTCCATACTGCTTTCCACAGTGCTTGAACTAGTTTACATTCCCACCAGCAGTGTAGGAGGGTTCCCCTTTCTCCACAATGTCGCCAACATTTGTTGTTGTTTGTCTTTTGGATGGTGGCGATCCTTACTGGTGTGAGGTGATGTCTCATTGTGGGTTTAATTTGCATTTCTCTGATGACTAGTGATGTGGAACATCTTTTCATGTGTCTTTTGGCCACCTGAATTTCTTCTTTGGAGAACTGTCTATTCAGCTCCTCTGCCCATTTTTTAATTGGATTTTCTGTTTTTTGTTTGTTGAGGCATGTGGGTTGTTTATATATTTTGGATGTCAGCCTTTTATCGAGTCTGTCATTGATGAATATATTCTCCCATACTGTAGGATGCCTTTTTGTTCTCTTGGTGGTGTCCTTCGCTGTACAGAAGCTTTTCAGCTTGGTATAGTCCCACTTATTCATTTTTGCTTTTGTTTCCCTTGTCTGGGGAGATATGTTCATGAAGAAGTCACTCATGTTTATGTCCAAGAGATTTTTACCTATGTTTTTTCCTAAGAGTTTTATGGTTTCATGACTTACATTCAGGTCTTTGATCCATTTCAAATTCACTTTTGTGTATGGGGTTCGACAGTGATCTAGTTTCATTCTCTTACATGTAGCTGTCCAGTTTTGCCAACACCATCTGTTGAAGAGACTCATTTCCCCATTGTATGTCCATGGCTCCTTTATTGTATATTAATTGGCCATATATGTTTGTGTTAATGTTTGGAGTCTCTATTCTGTTCCACTGGTCTGTGTCTCTGTTCTTGTGCCAGTACCACATTGTCTTGATTACTGTGGCTTTGTAGTACAGCTTGAAGTTGGGAAGTGAGATTTCCCCTGCTTTATTCTTCCTTCTCAGGATTGCTTTGGCTATTCGAGGTCTTTTTTGGTTCCATATGAATTTTAAAACTATTTGTTCCAGTTCGTTGAAGAATGTTGTTGGTATTTTAATAGGCATTGCACTGAATCTGTACATTGCTTCAGGCAGGATGGCCATTTTGAGAATATTAATTCTTCATACCCAAGAGCATGGAATGAGTTTCCATTTATTAGTGTCCTCTTTAATTTCTCTTAAGAGTGTCTTGTAGTTTTCAGGGTATAGATCTTTGACTTCCTTGGTTAGGTTTATTCCTAGGTATTGTATTTATGATGCAATTGTGAATGGAATTTTTTTCCTGATTTCTCTTTCTGCTAATTCATCATCAGTGTGTAGGAAAGAAGCAGATTTCTGTGTATTAATTTTGTATCCTGCAACTTTGTTCTAGTAGTTTTGGTTCTAGTAGTTTTGGAGTGGAGTCTTTAGGGTTTTTTTGTACAATATCATGTGATCTGCAAATAGTGACTGTTTGACTTCCTCTTTACCAATCTGAATGCCTTGTATTTTTCTTTGTTTTGTCTGATTGCTGTGGCTAGGACCTCCAGTACTATGTTGAATAAGAGTAGGGAGAGTGGGCATACCTGTCTTGTTCCTGATCTTAGAGGAAAATTTTTCAACTTCTCACTGTTAAGTATGATGTTGCCTGTGGGTTTGTCATATATGGCCTTTATTATGTTGGGGTACTTCCCCTGTATACCCATTTTGTTGAGAGTTTTTATCATGAATGGATGTTGAATTTTGTTGAATGCTTTTTCAGCATCTATGGAAATGATCATGTGGTTTCTGTCCTTTTTGTTGGTGTGGTGGGTGATGTTGATGGACTTTCGATTGTTGTACCATCCTTGCATCTCTGAGATGAATTCCACTTGCTCATGGTGTATGATCCTCTTAATTTATTTTTGAATTCTGTTTGCTAATATTTTGTTGAGTATTTCTGCATCTATGTTCATCAGTGATTTTGGTCTGTAATTTTCTTTTTTCATGGGGTCTTTGCCTGGTTTTGGTATTGGAGTGATGCTGGCTTCATAGAATGAGTTGGGGAGTATTCCCTCCTCTTCTATTTTTTGGAAAACTTTAAGGAGAATGGGTATTATGTCTTCTCTGTATGTCTGATAAAATTCCGAGATAAATTCGTCTGGCCGGAGGATTTTGTTCTTGGGTAGTTTTTTGATTACCGAGTCAATTTCTTTGCTGGTAATTAGTCTGTTTAGATTTTCTGTTTCTTCCTTGATCAGTCTTGGAAGGTTGTATTTTTCTAGGAAGTTATCCATTTCTTCTAGGTTTTGCAGCTTGTTAGCATATAGATTTTCATAGTATTCTCTAATAATTTTTTGTATTTCTGTGGTGTCCGTCATGATTTTTTCTTTCTCATTTCTGATTCTGTTGATGTGTGTAGATTTCTCTTTTTCTCTTAGTAAGTTTGGCTAGGGCCTTATCTATTTTGTTTATTTTTTCAAAGAACCAGCTCTTTGTTTCATTGATTTTTTTGTATTATTTTATTGTTCTCAATTTTATTTATTTATTCTCTGATCTTTATTATGTCCCTCCTTCTGCTGACTTTGGGTCTCATTTCTTCTTTTTCCAGTTTCAATAATTGTGACTTTAGACTATTCATTTGGGTATGTTCTTCCTTCTTTAGATAGGCCTGAATTGCTATATACTTTCCTCTTAGAACTGCCTTCACTGCGTTCCACCGAAGTTGGGGCTTTATGCTGTCAGTGTCATTTGTCACTATATATTGCTTGGTCTCTGTTTTAATTTGGTCACTGATCCGTTGATTATTTAGAAGCATGTTGTTAAGCCTCCATGTGCTTGGGAGCCTTTTTGTTTTATTTGTACAATTTATTTCTAGTTTTATGCCTTTGTGGTCTGAGAAGTTGGTTGGTAGAATTTCAATCTTTTTGAATTTACTGAGGCTCTTTTTGTGGCCTAGTATGTAGTCTATTCTGGAGAATGTTCTATGTGCACTTGGGAAGAATGTGTATCCTGCTGCTTTTGGGTGTAGAGTTCTGTAGATGTCTGTTAGGTCCATCTGTTCTAGTTTGTTGTTCACTAGTGTGTTGCCTCTGTGTCCTTACTAATTTTCTGTCTGGTGGATCTGTCCTTTGGAGTGAGTTGTGTGTTGAAGTCTCCTAGAACAAATGCATTGCATTCTGTTTCCTCCTTTAATTCTTTTAGTATTTGTTTCACATATGTTGGTGCTCCTGTATTGGGTGCATTTATATTTATAATGGTTATATCCTCTTGTTGGGCTGACCCCTTTATCATTATGTCATGTCCTTCTGTATCTCTTGTTACTTTCTTTGTTTTGACATCTGTCTGATACCAGTACTGCTACACCTGCTTTTTTCTCCCTACTGTTTGCATGAAATATCTTTTTCCATCCCTTGACTTTTAGTCTGTGTATGTCTTTGGGTTTGAGGTGAGTCTCTTGTAAGCAGCATATAGATGGGTCTTGCTTTTTTATCCATTCTGTTCCATGTAAAACTCTTTTAATCAGTGTTTATTTCATTTATTTATTCCTTGGGCTAATAATCCTCCCAGTATGCCCTAATTTTAGAATATAATTTTAGTGTAATTAAATTCCAAATTGTAGCAACTATGTCACCTTAAAGGGATGAGTACTTGAGCCAAACTTTAGACATGACTCCTGCTAATAACTAAGCATGTGAGTGGGCCCTGCAGGTTTGTTAATTCATGTGTAAGACTGATTGGTTAAGCATAAGTGTTTTTCTATAAATTTTCACTTGGGCTTTACCACAGGGGAAGAGTGGACTGCATTTATCTCTGGCTACATGCTGTATTAGCAGTTCATAGAAGAAACGGGTGAAGGAAAGCTCTCTTGTGAAAGCAACAGAAATCAGCACATGTAGAACACATATACCTCACCTGATTTGGTAGTAGAGCTCTAGGCAGTTAATCACTGAGTATGATTAAAATGAAACAATACACTCATAAGCCCAATCAGAAATTATAAAACGTGTATTTATAAATAGCATGCAACAAATTTAATTTGTTTGAAAGCAATTTGAACCTTAAAATGTGCACATTTTTTAATTTAGAAAGAATCCAAGGAAATTATATTGTTATTAGACTCCTTATTTTATATAACTAGAGATTTCGATAAGAATGAGTGGGCTTAGATGAAATATAAGTTGTGAACAGTAAATTATAGATAACATTAAAGCAAAATAATGAAATTAAGACAAATCACATATATGTGGCAGAAACAGCTAATTTAATACACTTAGATGAATGAGGTAGAATGTAAATTCTATGAGAGCAGTAGGGTGGGTGGGGGTGTCTTTAATTATAAGTGCCTAGAATATGCTATATAACTATTTGTTAATGAATGAATATTAAATCATTATTGGGTAGAAAATTAAGTTTATTTAAAATTAATAGGGATATGTGAAAATTGATAAGAGTAAATTATCTTGAAAAAACAGTGGATGGCAACATAATGGTAGTCGTTAACATAATTTTTACGAGTAGTTACATGTACAAAGTGCTCCTTTAAAAAGCCAGACGTTTCATTTGCTTTTTAAGTGTTAAGGCAGTACGCCTCATATTCCAATCAAATTTAGAGGGCCTGTTGATAAACTTCACTGATAATCTTTTGAAAAAGTAAAGATACTAAATGAAAAGACCAAGGAGTAGAAAAAGAACTATATTATGAGCTCATTTGTATAAATCTTTGAGAAATGAACCTGGAAGGAAGAAATGTATGTATATATACATGCATGTATATACACATAATAGATATTGTATATTTTCTGAAATATTTGTATTTTTTAACCTTTTTCTGTGTTTTGTTAAGAAATTAAATTTAAAAGTAAAAGAACAAGATAGTACAGATTACATTACTCATTTTTAAATGAAAACTTAATATTTTTCTAGAAGACAAAGTGAAGAGAGTCTAGTACATTTTAAGGAATATCAATATGGGCTCAAGAGTATAAAAGAAGGCTCAAGGCAACTTTATGTAAAAATACTTCAGAAGGTCATTCATGCTATAACATTCCTAATTTTTATAATTAGAATTTTAAAATACAGTGAAACCATGTCTAGACATGGTTTGTCCATTGTAATATTCCATGCAAATATAATTTTGTTTTTGTTATTAATCTACAATTAAATGAAGAACATTATGTGCCCCCCACAAACCCCATTACAGTCACTGTCCATCAGCATAGTAAAATGTTGTAGAATCACTGCTTGTCTTCTCTGTGTAGCCTAGCCCTCTCCATGCCCCCCCCATTATACAGGCTAATCGTAATGCCCCCTTTCTTTTTCCCTGCCCTTTTCCCTCCCTTCCCACCCATCCTCCCCAGTCCCTTTCCCTTTGGTAACTATTAGTCCATTCTTGGGTTCTGTGATTCTGCTGCTGTTTTGTTCCTTCAGTTTTCCTTTGTTCTTATACTCCACATATGAGTGAAATCATTTGGTATTTGTCTGTCTCCGCCTGGCTTATTTCACTGAGTATAATACCCTCTAGCTCCATCCATGTTGTATGCAAATATAATTTTACATTATGTTGAAATAATACATTTCCTCAGTGTCTAATGAGTATCAACAACCACTGTAAATACATATTGAACATCATTTTCATTTAATTATAAGGTTAACTGTCTAGTTTAAGAGAAGTCATTGAGATAATTTATTTCAAAAACTATTCGAAAGTATCTTTTAAAAATACTGTGTTTAAGGTGTTCTTAAAAAAATTTTTTATAATATGTTTTAAGTTACTATAAATTGGGTTGCTTTTATCTTCTAGTAAATTTAGAAGGATGACTCATATAGCTACATTTTTACATGGTTTAGTCAAAAACTGGGTGAGGTGAGAGGGCTTATGGGATGATGAGAGATGGCGCTGGGGAGATGAGGACAGACCTAGTTAGAATGAATTTGTTAAGGAGTTTGGCCTTTATCCTGAAAGAGTCATAGAAATGAATACATTAAATATGGGTACTTTTGATATACCAGTGTTAATCCATAAAAATACCATGTAAGCCTCATGTGTTTGTATGACCTACCAACTAGAAAACCTCAAGGTCCTGTCACCTATGAATGGGCATCCTGGTTATTTCAAGCTCCTACCAGAATACATGTCCTCTGCCTCATACACCCAGTCATTCATTCATTCAGCATATTTTTGTAGAGTGTCTGCCTTGTGCCATTCTCTCATCCTGTTGACTATTCGTTCCTGCAAAGTGTCTTCCAGTCCACACTAAACTCATCCCTAGTTTCCTCCAAATAAAAAAATTTTTTGCAGTTTTGACATTAAAATTAAAAACAAAGAACATGACTGATTGATTGATTTTACTGTCTCAGAAATTAGAATTTAGAAAAGTAAAAAAAAAGTAGATAAGTAAAGTTGCCTGAATTAATTTGTTTGAAGTGATTTTGTTTCCTTCAGTCTGAGCATTGAGCTTTACTTGTGAAAAGCACTGTGGTTGGCTCTTATTGTGGAAGATAATAGGAAGATAAAACATCATCCCTATTATTGAGTTTACAATCTGGTTGGCAAGGTGAAGCATATATATAATTAACTGTTATACAAATAGCATGTGATAGTTGAATGCCCAGGGAGAGGTAAAAGCAGAGGAAGAATCATTTATACCTAGGACAGTCAGGGAAGGCTTGGTGGAGAGGTAGTAGTCAAAGATAGGTATAATTCTTGGTAAGCAAATCTCAGGGTAGAGGCCTGAGCTTTTTGTATGGAAGATGCCAGGGTGGATTGAGGAATGACTGGTCTTTAGGTTTTGTGCCAGGAGCTATAAATGCAAATGCCTACCCAGACCTGTCTAAAGATAAGCCTATTTGAATTGTTGGAATACTTTCTAGGCACAGAAAAGTATTTATACGGGAACTATGTTGCAGCCTTCTCATTGTATTCCATGTGAAAGTGACCCTCTCCGGTTGTGCAACATGACCCTGAGTTGGTAGATCACCAGTTTGCAACCCCAAATTTGCCTCTTTGGGGGACCATGCTAGAGAATAGATTGTGGACAACTCAGAATATGAGCCTGACTTTTTCCATAAAACCAACTGCTTTATCAAAAAGAATTTTTAGCTTAATAGTTAAATTATTGAATGAAACTAGCTTTGGAATTTAATGTGTTTTCATGCTGGCATTTAATCTGACCATTATTTTGAATCCATAATGTCACATGATCACTTGAGAGCTTTGGCTTTTTCTGAAAGATGTATGATTTTTGAACAAAAACAGGTAACTTCTAAACCACAAAGGCCTAGTCTAAAGTTTCTTGGTTTAATTTTCTGCTCCCTTAGTTTTAAGTATTATATTAGGGTTCACTTCATAAAGCCAAAATGGTAAGTTTGACTTTAAATCTGTACCACAGTATGTACAGATCATCCTTAAAACAAGATTTTTTGTGTCTTTTTAGTGGCTTAGAATTTCTGGGGCTGTGTGTTTGTGTGTGCACGCGTGCTTGAGAAAGAGAGAGAGAGAGAGAGAAACATTCAGGAGGTTCGGGAACCCTGCTGACCATTCTGAGCATTTTCACCAGAGGTGAAGTGTGCATAATTTAACAGCTGGGGAAGCACAAACATTATACCCAGTAACTATTGGCTGGCAGAATTCACTGTTTTCAGCACTCTGTGGCTAAGCACAGACTTCCTGTATTGTAAGAGTCCATTGTAGTTTTAAGTTGCCCTCAAAATAGTCATTGTGTTTTTACTTCCCACCAATACTAATGCTGTAAGGTATCTTACAAAGCACATAGTAATTACTTAAATGCTTTAATACCGTAGTAACTAGGATAACAGCTCTTAGATGGCTAGCAAGGATGTTCAGTCTTTTGGGTTTAGAAAACTTAACACCCTTATTGCCTTTTTAACCATGGTGGTGTGTAATTGGAGATATTCCAGACTTGATTTGTTGATGAATTCCACGTATTTAAATAAGTTAAATCCTGCATATTGATCTCTAAAGAAATACAAATAAGAATGTGAGTTAGTTTACCACTTAAATAGTGATCAGTTTTCAACAGTAATAGTTTATTTGTACAGCGTTGATGCTTATATATGGCAGTTAAAGTACATTTTCAGGCTCAATGAAGAAGTTTAGAAAAAGTATGTGATATTTACTTCTTGTAAAACTACACTGACTCAAGTCTCATAGATTCCAAAATATAAGGGACAGAAGACCACCACATTTGAAAGACAAATAAAAATTTTGTGGCACTTTATGAGTTAAAAGATACTTTAGTTTCTAACATAAGAGTTACCTTTATTGGCAGTTATTTTTATCAGAGTCTTAACTCCTACTAGGTTATTATATACAAATATATTAATATGAATTAATATTTTTAAAGAAAAGTACAGTAAGTACTCCAGTTTTCAGCCTTTAAAATAATGTTCACATTTAGCTCAATCAATGAGATTCCTTTTCTTTTTTTGTAAGAGGTCTTAAAACACTCAATTGCTCATTCCCAATTCAGGCTGTTTTCATTATAAGTGGCGGTTATATGGTTAATTTATAAATATTAGATGAAATTTGGGAGGGTTATTTCATTTAACGTTTGTTTTGTACTTGGTTTTCAATAAAGAATGAGATAAATATGAAAGGGTTTACTCAGTTGCTTTTGTCATATAGATCTCTCAAGTAAATTAGTTTATGATGATACTGACTCTGTTTAATTTACATTTCATGTAATGGTTAGTGGTTTCTTTATCCTTTGTAGCTTTGGAAAGATAGAGTGTTGTTGTATTATTGTTTAAAATGTGATAGGTTTTTTAAATATGTAAAGTAAAATGCTTAATGTTTTTTGATTTATAGAATCTTGTTTAAAGACAAAGATCGGAATTGGGATGAAATAGAAAGCCAGTTAAGAGCTGAAAGTGAAGTCCCTATTGTGAAAACCTCAAGCATGGTATGGTAGTTTTTCTTGAATATTAAAACATTTTAATAGGTCTTATTTTAAGGGAATGATATGCTTATTTTTGAACTGTTGATTTACATTTCTAAAAGAAACTAAATGCACAAATTTGGGAAATTGTATTCCTTCAGCTCTCTCACAGGAGTTTAAAATGTTGATTGCTTCAAAGTTGCAGAGGGTATGAAGGAGGAACCTTTTATGTTTCTATTATACATTCTTGTTCTTATAATAATTATATATTATAGATAATTTTGAAATAAAAGCCATGCTCAAATATTAGTTGACAGCAGTCATTTCCATTTACTTAATATATTGCTTGTCTCTTCCTCATAAATTTGTAAAACTGAGATTGCAATGTATATATTTTCCAAAGAAATCTTTAGGCACTTTTACAAAGTTCATAGAAGGTTGATCAATACAAGTTTTTCAAAATCTTTGTTTATACATACTATTATCTTGAACTTTGCATCTTCTATCATTATCTCATTGAAAAAAATAATTCTGTTTCAACATTAATTGAAAGATTTTAAAGTTTGAATTTTGTTTACTGGGTATCATAATTATTTAATATATTGTTGCTACAGATGTAGTGCCATTTAGATAATGTTAAGTATTCCAAAAAAGATGAGTGTGAGATTCATTGTTTAGCAAACAAAAGTATTTTTCTTAAGCTAAATTCTGTCATTGCTTTCCCTACAGGAGATTTCTTCTATCTTACAGGAGCTGAAAAGAGTAGAAAAACAGCTTCAAGGTAAATTTACTACTGTGTTAAGTATAGAAACAGCTAACAATTTAGGACAATGTGTTCCAAGTGGTATTTCTTAAAATATTATTAGAATGTTATTTAATTTAAATGTAATGATATATGGATAAAAATAAAGAGTTCTGCATGTCCAAATTACTTATAAAAAGGAAGTTGTGAAACCTAATGTAAATAATTAAAAAGATAATAATGTTAAAACTTGGGCATACAGCCCCAAATATAAACTAATTCACAAATTTATATTATCTATTACCTATCTGTCTACATATATATATGCACACACACACACACACTCTAAAATAATGTGTTAAATATGTCTACAGCTGAAAATGCTTATTAACAATTAGCATTATTTATCTCATTTAACAATTCCTCAATTTGTGTTGTAATTGAAATGAACTTGTATTCTAATACAAATAATGGTTGTTTGAATAGCCCACAAGAAATGAGTACATATTGGCTATATGTAACAGAAGAGGAGAGAGAGAAGAAAAAGGAACTCTTTGCCTCCTAAACTTTGGCAGGCACATTGTTTTAGTGTGTGTCAGATCTTAATCATACATTAATGTCTATGTGTATCTTGACCTGGAAGTCTCCAGTGGTATAACAAGAAGCTTCCAGAGTCAACTGCTAATTCTCTTCAATCTTCATTGCTTGAATTATCATGGGCTTAACCTTGATTCAGCCTCAGCACATCTACGGGTTATGACTTACCCATGAGTAAAACGGGCATGCTCACAGAACGGTTGGTAGCTGGTTGAATGGGGGTATACTTTTAAAAGTTGGACCACGTAACATGATTCTTTCCCCAGTGGTGCTTCTGTCTCTCAGCTACCCCCACCAGTGCCAAGTTGAGTCACTGCCTAAGATTTTGGCTCTTCTACTCAAGGATTCAGTCTACATTTTGAATTGAAAACTGCTCTTTAACTGGCCCCTCCCATAGAGGTAGCAAGGTGTATTTGTCCTGCAGGGACTGCCATGGGATATTAGTATCTAGGCTACTGGTGGATCCCTATGGCTCAGTGGTACATATACCCTTGAACACAGCATATATGCAAGCATCTCACCGGGATGCGCAACAAGCTGTGGTAGCCCTCAGAGTATTGATATTTGATGTTTTTCTAGCCTCCACAGCCTTCCAGGTTTACTCTGAACCTCATGTTAGCAACTAATCCCCGATTATCTGAGTGGTACTTACAGCTAGGAGTATTCGTTAAAATCATAACCAACATTTTCACTATCCTCTCAGGATGACAAAAACAGGTTTCAAAAGGATCTTTCTGAATCCACATTTCCAAATCCAGTCTTGCAGCAGGTTGCCCCTAAGTGAGCTTACTTAAGGCACCAGAGAAAGTGTTTAGGTCTGTACAAGAGAGATCAGCCCCAGGACTATTGAAAGTGGGGTTTTAAATACAGCATTGAAATTAGCCAAACTTAAACTCATATAAGCATCCATAGTTGAAATACAAATCATAAGCAATGTTCACATCCAAGTTTAACTGCATCCACAATGATCTTTTCTGTGCAATCCTTTTATTTCCTTCAGCCATCAATACTATGATTGACCCGGATGGAACTTTGGAGGCCCTGAACAACATGGGATTTCCCAGTGCTATCTTGCCATCTCCACCAAAACAGAAGTCCAGTCCTGTGAAAAACCACAGCAGCCCGGGTCAGACACCGACACTTTGCCAACCAGGAGCTAGGGTTCTTCATCCTGCTGCTCTCTCAGTCTCAGCTGAGTTTGAGAATGCCGAATCTGAGGCTGATTTCAGTATACATTTCAATAGGTTCAACCCTGATGGGGAAGAGGAGGATGTTACCGTACATGAATGACTTTCTCTTCATAAAAATAAGTTACCTGTGTAATGACTAGGGATAGTGAAAACAGCATAGTGTTGACATCAAACAAGACAGCTTGGTCAACTGCAATCTTGTTCTCTCTTCTTAATTGTATTATTTATTTTCTATTGATAATGTGGTGTCATATTAACCCCTTTAAGCCACTTAACCAACCACTTGATGCACAGATAGGAGAAAGCAGATTGTGGCCGTCTCACCTTTTGTGGCTTTATGATTTTCAAATGGAATTGTACAATTGCATCCTTTCCCTTCATAGATCTTTGTTTTTTTCTTTAAGCCATGCTGTGACCTACAAGCAAACTACATACCCAGCATTTCTGACTCCATGTCTGCTGTGCCAAGCTGCTTCCTGAAATGGACTTCCTCTTCATCTGTACAGATTTGTTAAACACATATTTGCTTCTTAATAATAGGATTTGTATCAACATCACTACTATTGGATATAACAACATATCACTCTCCATAGTCAAACTGACCTTTCAAAACAGTTGTTCTTATGTTTTCAAATTTTCCAACATCTATGTGATTTATATGACTTTGTTGCTACGTAACTTATCTTGGGGTTTACAGAGATGAACTATTATGTTTGCACTAAAATTTGCTGGGAGTGGTAGATGAACAGAACTATATATCAGTAAGGACTACCTGTCTTTTTTTGTATGTAGGAGATTGATAATACTCTGTTTTAATCCCACAGTGTTCTACTCCACTTTGGAAAAGATCAATTTGGCACTTTTTTCAATTTCTTTTTTTTTTTTACTGAAAGTAAGACGGTCTCATTTTTAGGGCAAATGATAACTAGAAAGATTAAACTAGAGAGATAGTTTAGGTGGAGTATATTTTTAAAACTAAGAACATGTATATTGGTCCTGTGTTACCAAGTTTATATGTGCAAGTTGAAAAAAATTTCCCTTGAAATGATCATGAAGTTAAAATTGTCTTCATTAGGTGTCTTGGAGAACCAGTAGTTGTAAGATTAGTTGCTAGTTTCACTCCCGAGCAATAACTTGCTTCTGTGTTTCCCTGTAGGACCCAATAGTAAATCCTGTCTCAGTCTGACACACTTATAAGGACCCTGCAAGATGGCAACTAAACAGAAAGCCTATGAAGAATACCTTCTGTAAACTTGTTTCTTCTCTTTCTTTTAAGTTCACATTTGGATAAGTTTAAAAAGAAAGTAATTATCTTTGTGTTTCCAGAACACTATAATTTGAGTGAATCTTAATTCAGTTGAATGTTGTTAGTAGACTTGGAGTTTTCCCTTTACCCCATCAGTCTGTAATAGTTAAAATTACAACTTTTGCAACTTTTATGAAATGGTCTTTAATAGTTCAGCAATAATCCTGTGCTACAGTTCTTTTAAGAGACTCTATGTACTTCAAAACTGTACAGGAATTTTTAAAATCCTGTACTGTTGGCCAGTTAATAAAGATGCAAAAAAACCTTCTTGTAGAGATGTAAAAACAGAAGCCTGTTGTATAATGGATCACATTATATTTCTTTTTTTAAAAAAGGGACATGAGCTCTTCTCTTCCCCATTATAGCTAATAAAGGAAGATTGAAAAGATTTTAAAGATACAAATGCTTTGAAGGAATAAATAAACATTAAAACAGGGTCAATCCATTTGAAGAAAAAGTCAAACAAAATAATCACCATTGTTCCCTCTTTTAATTTAACTTCTGGGTACTGATCACATCCACATGGAAGTAGAAGGTAAGGAGTTGTTTAGGAAAATATTAGCATCAACTCTACTTAACATTATCGTTTAAGTGTTTACACAGTTTTGTTCAATTATAAACATTTGGCCTTTTACTATGTTATTTTTATTTTGTATGAATACATTATTCTCCTTATTTATTTTTGTTACATTTATTACTTATGTTATTTTGTTATGCATTTACAACTCCATTTTTAAATAAAGTGTTTCTGGAACTTTAAAAAAAATGGGCACTATCCACAAGACAAGAAATAATGAAGTGTTGGCAAGAATGTGGAGAAAGGGGAACCCTCCTATACTGTTGGTGGGAATGTAAATTGGTAAAACCACTGTGGAAAGCAGTATGGAGGTTCCTCAAAAAACTAAAAATAGAAATACCAGTTGACACAGTAATTCTACTAGGAATTTACCCAAACAAAATCCCTGATTTGAAAAGATATGAAGAAATATCATATGATTTCACTTATTTGTGGAATATAAAAACAAAGCAAAACAGAACGAACAAAACAGCAGTAGACTCACAGACACTGAGAAGTGACTAGAGGTTACCACGGGGGAAGGGCTGCAGCGGGTAGTTGGGGAGGGTGAGAGGGATAAAGGGGCACAAAAATACTCAATCATAACATAAGATGGTCATGGGGATAGCCGTATAGCATGTAGAATATAGTCAATGATTCTGTAACATCTTTGTATGTTGACAGATAATAACTGCCCTAGTTGGGGTGAGGATTTAATAATATGGGTAACTGTTGAACCACTGTATTGTATATTTGAAACCAATATAAATTGCATATCAAAAGCACTTCAATAAAGAAAATTAAAAATGAAGATACCTCAAAGCTTTCTGGACGTGATGGATATTTAAGCTGAATCTTTTCATGGTGGCACTACTGGGTTCTTTGTAGGCCTCCTTGCTGGGTTCCCCTAACTATAATTCCCTTGATGCAAAAGACACATTCTATTACTCTGGAGGCTACAAAGCATTCTATCCCTCACCATCCTCCTTCCCCACCTTGCCCTTCCACTCCCATCCAGCCTGGTTTTTCAGAGTTCATTCCACACAGCCTGTATGTTTTAGGTTTCAAGTTCCTCTGGGTCAGAATTTAACACTGCTCCAAGTGGGCTCTTGTTTTCTCCTTTTGAGTGTGCTTCACATGTAGTCCATGGGGACACTCATATACCCAGCAAATTCCAGGGTTGCCAGCTGATTCTATACTTTTATATATTATAATAATTGATACAATCTACCAACAGATCTACATAGATGACAAAATTATTTTTACATAAGGAGTTACTTATTTTCCTATTGTGTTTCAAGAGTACTAGAAAATAATATACTCATATTTTACTCCTAACATTTCCAAATAGTTCTTATGGGAATTAAGAATGCTCACTATTGAAATTTCTAATGAAAGTGTGGCTTAAATACTATTTAAAATACTTTGATCAAGTTATTCAGTTAAAATAATTTTGCTTCACTAAAAGCTCGCAATCTAAAATACAACAAATTACTTGCTAAGAATCATCAGTTAAAGAGGCTAAGCTCAAATGCCTATTTAACTTAAATAGAATTAATTTAAATTAAAGCTTTAGATTTCTATTTAGGTCAGGTTATAATAAACTTCACATTACATTTATAAAACGAAAGAAAAAGTCACAAAAGGACAACATTGTTGAAACACAGTGACTAGAGTATCTCCCCAAAAATGCCTTATCTTATTTATTTACTTACTTATTTTGGTATCATTAATATAAAATCACATGGGTAACACTGTAGTTACTAGATTCCCCCCATTATCAAGTCCCCACCACATACCCCATTATAATCACTGTCCATCAGCATAATAAGATGCTACAGAGTCACTACTTGTCTTCTCTGTGCTATACTGTGTTCACCATGCCCCCCGCTACATTATGTGTGTGCTAATTGTAATGACCCTTATTCCCCTTCTCCCTCCCTTCCCACCCACCCTCCCTAGTCCCTTTCCCTTTGGTAACTGCTAGTCCATTCTTGGGTTCTGTGCCTTTATCTTTTTAAAATAATAATGCTCTTTCTTCTTTTGCTATTTTTGCCTCTTTCAGTAGAAAGATTCAAGAGAGCTTGGATTTCAAAGGATTAAAAAGGCAAACTAGAGGAGATAAACAAGATGGAGGCATGAGAACTGAGGCAGAAACTTCCTCCCAATACTACATATAATGCGAAAATACACCAAATACAACTAATCCTAAAAGACCAACTGGAAAGAAGACAGCAACAGACAGCCTACATATGGGGAAAAGAAAAGACCTCAAGGAAAAGGGTAAAGCAACAAAGCTGTGATCTGGGGGAACCCAAGCCCTCCCCAACCCCATCTCACAGGCAACAGGAAAAGAAATGGAGCAGGGAGGGAGTACAAGCCCAGAACTGCTAAATACCCACCCCTGGAGATCTACTAGGGAAGCAAGAACCCACATTACATGGTGCTCTGGAGATAAGAGGGGTTGGGAAGCAAAGACAGGAAGAATACTCAGAGACAGATTCCAGCTGCTTATGGAGAACAGGTACCCACAACCAGCTGTCTATGACAAAAGAAAGGCAGGCACTTTGAAAGATTTCCCAATGCTTCTAATGTGATATGCACATACAAAACCTTTATTTTTAGCTGGCCTGGGATCATCAGAAAGCTTTATGACAGTGATATATGTAGGGAACAAAGAAGAAATTTATAACAACTTGCACATCTTAAATTTGCAAGCTGTCAGTTTGGACCCACTTGGTTTCATATCATTCATACCTAAGAATCTGAGTATCACCCTGTTGCCACTCAACTTCTGTTCTCAGCTTGACCTTTTGAGGCCTTCCAAACCTGGCTCTTTTCTCATGTGTCTGTGTACACCTGATACAGAGTCGGCCACACATTTCTGACCACCTTGAGCGTCATCTTCACTCTGCACACTTGCTGCTTCCCACTTCTTTCCTGCTTCCCCTGCCCCTTTCATTCTGCAGAGTGCCACCCATGTCCTCGACTGGGCCACAAGAAAGGGCTGTGCCACGTACTTGTATTTTACTCTTCCCTTCCCCCACAACATATGCACATGTTTCTTCCTTCTCAATCACTGAAATCATCTTTTATTTCCTGGTTAGACCCTGTACTTTCAAAGGTCAGTGCCATTTTGCTTCCTTCATCTGTCCTAGGGTTTGCTTGCCATACCCCTGCCTGACATGACCCTATCTTTTGAAAGGAAACTATACTTAGAAGTTGGGATCCAGACCCAGTCCTTGCTAGGTGAAATGTGTTTCTCCATCTTCTGATCTGCAAAATAAGAGCATCATCCTATTTACCCAGGTCCGTTCTGACCCAAATGGTCCAGGACTGTGAAGCGGTTAGCCTCTCTTTTTTCCTTCAGGAAGCCTCCTTTGATTTTTGGTCATATAAAGACCTTTTCATTGTGTTCTCCTGCCACCCTGTACCCAGTTACAGGCCAGATTTTATCTATTCAACAAGTCCTTGGCAGAGTGCCTACCACATACCCAGGCACTGAGATTCCTGGCAGTGAATAGAAACAAACTACTGCCCTCACAGACATGTTCTCTCTCATATTCCAGAGTAGGGAAACATGATAGAAACTAAAAATTGGATAAATAAATTGATAGTCAGATGGAGAGATTACATTCTGCCTCACCTCCATGAATTGTTTACATAGCCACCTCCCAATAGTTTCCTAAAAGCACATAGCACTCAATGATTCAATCGGATACATTTTTATTCCAGTTTCAAAGAACTTCCTGTGGTCTGACTTCCGACCTCCCCTGTCTCCTTGGCTCCCCTCTTTGCTGTGTTTAGGACCATGGTCTCTTGATGCTCCTGAAAGTCACCTTCATTGTATCACATGATTAAACACTGGAGTATAGACAAAGTATGAGGACCTTTGCCCAAGCTGTGCTGCTGCTGCCAGATCCCTGAGGGCCCAGCTGGACTGCCAAGTTCTAGCCCAAGTTGCATGCAAGTTCTCCAACCAATTACACCGAGAAGCTTTCTAAGCTTGGAGAAAACCATGTTTGATTTATTCAGGTGTTGGACTGACCAGTACAGCAGGAGTCCAGCTGAGGGGTATCTGAACTACAGCTCTCAATTCAAAGCCTGTCTAATATCCTCCTGGCCTAAAAAGTTCCTACTCCCTCCTTCTCTAAGTATGGTCTGTCAGCCTCATACTTCCACTTGTTGCTGCTTTCCTTGGACCTTGTCCATAAGGACAGGCTTCGTGCTGGCCCCACTTAATTTGTCTAGTACATTTCACTACCTGAAACTAATCTTTTTTAGATATTTTGTACTCATTTAGTATTTTTGTACATACTGAAATGTTCAACATGTTGGTTAAAATCTTTTAGACTTAATACTACTATAAATTTATTACTACTACTTCTGTGAGGTCTAACCTTTGAAGGGTGACAATTCTTTTAATTTTGAGGTATGGCATATTAGATCTCAGAATAATCATGTAGTTCAACCACCTCATCCATATTTGAGGTATTTGAGGCATAAATAAATACAGTGACTTCTGCTGAGTGAGGGATTATTTTTTGCCAGGCAGTCTTTTGTTATATGCATTATCTTAATGCTCACAAGAACCATGATAATCTGTTGCTCATGCAACTACTGAGGACAAGGAACATGTTCATTGGCCCAACAAGCATTTTATTCAAGATCTATTTAACTTGGAAGT